GGACTAGGACTCTTCCAGCCACTCAGGCTCAGAAATAAGGCTGCCGAAATCCGGTGATTTAGGCAAGAAGTAGGCTATGGAGAAGTATCCCAAAAAGCAAGGAGATGTTTCACTATGAACTCCAACCACCACGTCCCTATTATGTCTGAAGGCACCAAGCAAGACAGACCTACAGACTCCTTTCTGTCCCACTGGGAGATACACAGGAAGAGGGAAAGTCAGATGGGAAAGAGGAGCATCCCTAGATGGCAAAATGAGGAAGGCTCTCACAAACAGCATGGGATATTCCTGGCCCTGTGTCCTCTTCTGCTGTACTTCAAATACCAGTTAGGCTCATTCTCATCATCCTAGGATGCCCCTCCAAAAAAAAAGAAAAGATCAGCATAATGCATCAGTTCAATACTTGCCCTAAGAGCTGCCTTGGGACTTCCACTTGCTAATGCCCACATAAGTAGTCACTGTGGTATGGAGAAGGCTGAGATACATAATGATTATTTGCCTAAGTCTTTGCCAACAAAAGCTTCTGCACACAGCCTGGGCCCCAGAAGGCAAAGGCAGGGACTGGAAGAATGATGAACTGCCCAGTGTAGGAAAAAATCAGGTTCAAGACCATGTAAAGAACCTGAAGGTGCACACGTCCATGGGACCTGATGAGATACATCCATGGGTATGGATACTGGATATTCTATTCACATATTTTAAAAGTCTCAAATAAAACAACCCATATTTTTAACATGAGAACAGATGATTGAGTTATACCCTCAGGTTAACATGGGTAAGCTTGTCAAGACTACCTCATTCTGGAATATATGCTGCAGGCAGTCAGTCCAAACCTACAGCTTCAATACACAAGTACCAGCTAGAGGTCTCCAGGCTGCAAGTCACAGATGGTCAACGTAGATGATAAAATACAGATATTTAGCAACTTGGTGCCTGAAAGGACAATTACCAGATGTATGCCAGCATGCTTCGTCTACCTATTTTTGTTTGTTTGGCACTTCCTAAGTTCTATTCAACACCCCTTTGAAGATCAAATGAAAAAAAGCTTTATGGTCAACATCTGCCTGAAAAGTTGCACTGAAGAACCTCAACCAGGACAAAGCAGACAGTTATTCAGTATTTCTAGCACAAATCAACCAGCAATAGCTGAAGGCTTTTTTACATACCTCTGTGTATATACCCTTCAGACCTCCTTCAAAGGAAACTTTTTCTTCATTTTTCCACATGGAAAATGAAATACAAGTCACACAGGCTTGATCCATAATCCCTTTCTTCTCCTCAGCACTGAGGCCTCAAATTCCTGTCTAGATCACGTCATGACAAGTCTAGCTGTGCCAAGAGCAACCAGGCCTAAGAAAGTATCTAGTCAAACATCAGATCACAAACGCGTATAGTAACAAGTCTGTCCCTTTGCAAGATCATTACATCTTATGGTTTCCTGATAACACTCCTTTTCTGGTAGAGGTTCCAGCTTTATTGAAGCAGTCAGGTTCCTCTATTATTGGAATACACAAACCATAAGACTGGAGCAAAACATTACCTTACAGACAGGCTAAAAGAAGAAAACAGAGGAAAAAAAGTCCCTGACTACACTTCAGGGACTACCTATACTTTCAGAAAGCAACCTCTGTACATGGAAAGCACCACATAGTATCGCAATTACTAGTGCAGGTCCCTAAAATAGAGTCCTTTGTTCTGCTGGTGGGTTTCCCCTTAGATTGCTTCAATACTGACTTTTATTCCAGGCTCCTATGTTACCTCTCAGTTCTCTGCTACAAATTGCTTCCACACTTAAGCACTGTTTCTCCTAAGTAAAGAACAGAAACCAGCTTCCTCTCCCAAAGGTTAAGGCATTTCCTCCTGCCCCACACAAGTTTTGTCCCAGCTTTAAACCAAAGTGTTACAGCAAGTGAAGCAATAAAGGAGTCTCTCCCAGCACTTAACACCACAGCATTAAATGTAAGGCCAAGGAACTAAACAGGAAGCCAGAATCCAGTAGCTCCGGGATCCTTACCTTTCCAACTGTGAATTTGGAAATCCAGAGTATGGGAAAATTCCAAATCACTAAAACTAAAGACCATTAGTGCCATCTGCAGGCCATACAGAACATCCCACCTCAAGTTTTCTGTCACCTCTACTTGCACTTGAGCATTGTTTTCTAAAGCAAGTTTGCCAACAAGCATAACTCTGCATAATAAAGATAAAGGTAAAAGTTTAAGAGTAATTAAGAATATTGCTCATAAATGTATACGTACCATGAGAAAACATTTAACTGCAAGTCTTGTTACAAGTCTTTAGCTGTAAGTTTGAGCACTACTCAGCTGAAGTTACTCAGTGAGCAGCTGAAATTCAGTAACAGAACTAGGACTATCCTTGGACCAGATAAAACACATCTTGCTGATCCCTCTGCACTAGTCCCACAGCTATACAGCTGACATCATCATTTATCTGGTGCTACAGCTCATCTCCATATACTAGCTACCTCCAACAAAGAACCGTGAAATTTAAAGGAAAGCGTAATTATTTACCACACACTATTAGTAATATCAGTGTCCTGTGCATACAGGACATATTTGTCGCGTATATGGACACCATGCGATCTAGATTAGATTCCATGTGCTTAATCTATAATCAAAACATACTAAGGATTTTAGAACACTGAAAAGTAGCATTATTGCTTCATGGAATCTTACAAAGATAGAGTCCAGAATTCTTGAAACTGATGCTTCTGGACGCATAACCAGAAAGAAAACTTAAGTTCTTTGCTCAGATCTGATTACAACACCATTTCAAGCCCTAAAGCTGAATATTCTGAACCTCATAACAAAGAAATTCAGTCAGCCAGCATCCAGGTTATCAGGTAAGGATAGACAGACAGACTCAAGAAGTTTTGAGCCTCCGGTACAAAAAGTCTGTCAGAATTATTAAAATGGTCTGAAAAAATACAGTGTAAAAGGAGCAGCTGAGGAGACAAAGATTGTTCAGCCAAAAAATGAGAAGGTTAGGAGTGGATCTGACTGCTGTGTTCAACTACTTAATGTATGGCTACAAAGACAGAGTCAAGTTCTTCTCAAATGAGCATAGCAAAAGGACAAGATGCAACAGTCCAACTGCAAGGAGGGAAGTTCTGATTAGATAAAATTAAAAAAAAAAAAAAAAAAAAAAGACAGATTTACAGTGAGAAAGATCAAATACTGGAACAAGTTGCCAAAAAAGGCTAAGAAAATTCCATTCCTGAAAAATACTCTAACCTTTATGGTATAAAGCCACAGAGTACCTATTTGAACTTTGAAGATGGCCTTGTCTTGAGAAGGAAGCTGACTATAAACCTCCATACTTCCCTTGCTATCTAAATAGCTTGATGATTCAATCTTAATATATGCTGTCTGGCCAGGATATTTCAATCAGAGGAAGATACTGGCTTCCTTCCTTATTTCCTTCCCTAGACCTCTGATATGAACAGAGTACTTAAAAAAAACAAACACCCCCAACACATGTACACACACACACACATCAACAGTGGAGTAACATGTTTGTCTTCAAGAGACAAAAATGCTACATATTGTGGAATTGGAACACTTGCTTCCTAAACAGAGCAGAAAACTTGTTTCAGATATGTTTGTTTGTTTGTTTGTTTTCCCAGAAGTATACCTATTTGTTACAACAAGATCAGCAGAACTAACTTTAAGAACCTGGTTATGATGCAACTCCTGTTTTGGTGGCCTACAACAGACTGCTAAGACTCTCTGAAAACAGGCATATTCAACACTGGATCATCTTGGAGATGATTTTGTTCATCCCTCTTTACTCCCCAGTAACATGCAATAATAGCAATTAACAATTCCCCAAATATAAAACTTGTGTGCCAGATGTGTTTAAGACTCCTTCTCCAAACTGAATACAGTTGTCACATTTTTCACTGACCAAGATGAGCCACCTGTTCCAGTCCCCATTTAGAGAAGTGACCTGTTCACAGCATCATTGCAGGCAAAGGCACATCACAACAAACCCGAAGGGAATCTGTTCATCAGTTTAAAGAATTACATGTATATCTCTTGTGGGATCATCATTAACACATCTTTTTGGATTTGGTACCTGCTTCAGATAAAAATATGCTGGATTCAGTACATGCCTCCGTCAGAGCCATGCAGGCCCAAACCCTAGTCTTTCTGGCTTTACGAGGTGGGTTTAGAACAGATTTAACAGTGCTCAGGACTGTTGCAGATGACAGCCCCACGATGCTCTCATCTTAAACAGTTAAGTTTATGGTCTGAGCTGGAACTAGTAAGGATTTAATTATCTTCACTTGGACATTTTGGAGGGGTGATTGTTTTAAATTTATTAGTTGCTCAGCTATTTAGCTAAACTTCTGTGATGAAAGAGAAACGGGTATTTTTGGCAAATAAATGTTCTTCCTGGGAATCTTAACTCTCTTTCATAACTTAAATGCAAAAGAAAATTGACATCTTGCAGGATAAGAACAGTGAACCAGTCTTTACTTGATAATGCAGAAAATACAAACTGCTGACCTAAAATTTAAAAGACAAGTTGAAGGTATTAAGACAGAAGATACCAACAACGGGTCTCTGTTTTTGTCTTTATGATTAAATGGAAACGGAGAAAGTTTAGATTCCTTTCACCCAGCATGCTCCTAGGCCAAAAGGATGGAGAAGGGGTACAAAGGCACCAATAATTCACAATAGGTTTAAGAACCTGACCTTTACAATAAACATCTTATTAATGGTATGTGGCCATTCAACTCTTAAAAGCTGATTTTTTTTTTTTATTACTTCCCTTTGTAATAAAGTCCCTCACTAAAGACTCTATAAAGTAAACTGATAGGACACTGCACAATGATAAACCATCTACAAAAACTCTACAGAGCTCCAGAACTGACATTTCCTTCCCATTTGTTACCATCTCAGAAGTACAAAGGCAATACAAGACATCTCTTGACCACTGAGTGCAGGTACACTAAGGAAGAAAAAACGCTCCCCTACCTGGCCAGTCCTTCCTCGTAGAGATAGATGACAAGTGGATCATAGGATGTAACCAGAACATACAGGCGCACATCAAATTTGAAGTCTGAAATACAGTTGTCAAGAGTCAGTGACTACAAATATCTTTCACATATCATATTCAGCTGAGGAAATTCAACAGACCCTCTAAACAGTGGGAAGAATAAACCATTGCCTGCTGCTGCCATACAGTGCTTGAAGTTTTCCCAGTTAAAACGCTTCCTGATTTCAATGATTTTTATTTTTTTTTTTTACTTTTCTTTTTTTTGAGAACTACCGCAAGATAGACCATTCAATTATTCAGCTAAATTCCTACAAAAGTTGTTGAGCTCTTCACATCCTAGAAGCAAGAAAGAATGTGCAAGCAAGAAGCAATTTCTAAGCACACTCACCATCTATTAGCAGGGGGTTGCTGATGTAACGAGAAACCAGGATGTTGTCTTCTAGAACAATCTGGTTTGGCTACAGAAGAACAGAGAATCCAGGAGTGAGAAAACCAGGAGGCTCAAGGAGTAACAAGATGACTAGATCAAGCCTACTATTTTTCCAGCATTCACCTCCTAACACCACTCTACACCAATAACTATGTCAGGGGTAGGGGGAAACATGACCAAAAAAAATATCACCAGTCAGTCACAATACACTTAAGGTAAATAGATCCTAACCAGAAGCTTGGGAATGATCGCATTTCCAAAAAACGCCCACTGAATTTTCCAGTTAAGTGTTCCTTAGAGTGAAATACAGGTTTAACAGACACATGGCTAAACAATATAACATAGGCAAGAGAAAAATCTGAAAGTGACTACCACTGTTTGTTTCCTGAGTGTTTAACCAGACACATGGAGGAGGGATTTTCTAGAAGCCATTGGAAGGAGTATGTAACTACAATTGGTGAGGAATTCACAAGTGAAGAAAATTAATACTCGTGATCTTTATGGCTGGACCCAGAGCTGGTACCCAACCCTTTTGCTTACACAAACATGTATCTTCTACTGAGGATCAGTTCACAGCAGGGGCTAAGGTACCAGAAAGCTACTCTTGTTGCACAGAACAGAAAGCTCTATGACAGCAGGTCATGGGACCTGCTGAAAAAGCTTCTACTTCTTTGCTGTATCCAAGTCTTTCTTCTTGTAACCAGTTTTAACTACTCATGGAAACAGTTTCTTGCAAAATAGTTTCCAGCATCCAGCTTGCAAAAGAGCCAAAAGAACTCCATCATCCTGAATTTATTCAATTTTACACATATTCAGCCTTATCAGTGTCACAAGCAGGAAATCTAGGCATATAGACTGCATATGTACAACATAAGAGAACAAGCTCAACTTCCTTCAGCATATCACAAAAATGACAGCCTCTTTTACAATGGACCGGATAAACTGATTTTTTTTTTGCCTTTTTTTGTTTAAAAAACAAACATTTTTGTGATGAAATTTTGGAAGACACTCCCTTAACGAAATCACACTGAAGGACACTGAAGTCCTTGGGCCAAACTAGCTAAAATGTTTCTGGAACAGATGTACACAAAGGGAGATTGGTCCCAGAAGGGTCTTTTCCCCAGTTCATGGCCAACTGCCATTTAAGCCTAAACTCGTTCCTCTCTTTCAAGCAAAGAAAAAGCTGAGTGCAGCTCTGGAAATACTTACTTCATACACTTGGCGAATTGCTCCCTTATTTTATGGGAAAGAATCCAGGTAGAGAACAGATGAGACAGCATGACCCTTTCAGTGCAGGGGAGGCTAAAGGGGTTTGAGTGAGTGAAAACAAAGTGACTCACCAGTCAGTTTTGCTGCTGAGAATACTTGTTGGAATATCCTCATGTGTTTTGGCTCCTGCCCAGATATATTTGTTACCTATGACAAGCTAACTCCCTGCAAAGCCCCCACAATGGCAACAAAACACTAAGCGGTATATTGAATTCAAAGAATCATTCCTATTACTCAATAAAGGCACACTAGCATTTAGATTACAAAATTCTAAGACTGATACACATCTTACAGTGTCATATAGTTTCATTTCATCTAGTCTTTTACAGGGGTGAGACGGAGAAAAGGACACTGGGTGAGGACTGGTTAGATTGCACAGGGCAAACAACCAAGGAGAGTTCTGGGAATCTTCCCAAGGCCAGCCTACTGTCAGCCACAAGGAGAGAATGAAGTAGCACAGATTCCCAAACTGTCTCAGGGAGTATGAACTTGCACCTAATAAGCCAAGACTTAAAAGTACCATATCGATTGCAAGAGACACACAGCAAATAAAGAAAGAGCTTGGTTTTGGTTGCACAGTATAAAGCCAGGGCAGACTTTGCCAGCTGCTCAGGACTGTTAAACTGCTCATCAATGTACTGTTGAAATCCAGAGCACAGCCATTGTCTGCTTAGATGTTTGCATGCACCTTGCCTGGAAGCTTGCATAGTTTTGCAGCCCTTGTTACTGAAAAGCAGCCCTTCTGATGAACACTTACATTGTTTATCAGGTAGACACCTCGACCCCTGGAAGATGCCACGGGCTTCACTATCCATGGGCCCCTGTCCTTAGAATAGGTATCTGGTTAAAAGAAAACACCAGTCTGAAACATCTTTCATTTTGATTATTTACAGAGGAGCAAGAAAATTGCTTACAGTAGAGAACTCCAGGAAGAGATCAAGACCTACTTTTTGATGTCCAGTTTTACCCCTCAGAACGCACTGCAATTATTACAGTTCCTTCTGCTGCTTCGATATATTCTTTTCTCTGCTTTACACCTCCTTTTGACATTTCTCTTTTCAGTACTCCCAGATATATCATCAACACTGGCCTCCAGAACTGAGCTTTCTTTGTGCACAAAATCCACAATCAGCTGCTTGAGGACTTATATAGGCAAGGAACAGGCAGCAGAATGAAAATAATATAAAAAAGTAATGCATGCCTTTTCTACAGTCTTTCCAGCTTCATCAACAGTGACATGACCAACAGACTCGAGTATTAATAGCGATTCCCTTCCCTCCTACCCAGTTATTCTACTTTAGGTCTGGACATCATCAGCCATTCACTTACTGCAGAAGTCCTGGTACTCTGCTGGGAGGATGAAGGTCTGAGGTAAGATATGGAATGCCTTGAATCCATGGGCCAGCTGCATACGACTGACATTCTTGTACAGTCTGTCCTTCCGTGTCAGTTCATACGACCTGAAGTCCCAAAACAAGAGACTATTATCTATTTTCCCAGCGTAAAAAAGAAAGAAAACAACAAAACACCACTGCACTGTAACAACCTATTCTCCTAGTTACTAAAGCATCTATAGCCCTGTCAGATATCTCAGCCCTAACCTGCAACTACTCTTCAGTTTTACTGTCTCTGCTCTATGGCTGCATTGATAATCACCCTCATCTGTAGTGCCTCTTGCTTTTCCCAAGAGGGACTGAACCACAGCAAACTGTTAAAATGGTGTTTGCAAACTTTAACGGGTGATGTATGACTACGACCTGTAACTAAGAACCCCAAGCCCCAAACACGTTATATATATACCATCAAATAAAGGTAGGGTATAAATCAGTTTTTGGGCTATGGACAAGTGCTTCAGCTCACATACTATCCCCCCTAGATCCCCAGAGACTGTTTAAAATGAAGACAGTACGTGGCACACATCCAGCATGCTGCTGGGACTTTGCAGTATCATTATTACAAAAAAAAAAAAAAAAAAAAAAAGCAAGCTATCTGTGCTCATATTTCTGCAAACCATGACAAAGATGTTCAGCAAAGTATGATGTCGAAGCCTTACTTAGGGAAATGATTGACTTTCTGAATATCTGTAAGGGAACGCAGCAAGTAGGGTTTCAAGTGTGATCCCGTCCACATGAGATTATAATCACTGCTACTAGGGTGCACCTAAAAAACAAAATAAAAAAAAACACACACATAAAGCTATGGAAATTGTGATAAACACCACCACTTGTCCTATAGACTGTGCCCTTCTGTCTGTGGGACCACAGCAATTCTGGTTTAAGACAATTTCCTTTATCCATCTCTAGCATTAGGGCATTTCTACATAGACTGCTGTCCTAAGCTACTGTACAGTGGTGCTAGGAAATAAATGTATCTGTTTTCTACACAAGCTTAGGGCTTTGCTCTTTTAATAGACCATCAAAACCCAATTTATAAAGCATTTTAGATTTTTCCAGGAAACTTGGGAGGGAGACCAATTCCCCAACTTTGCCGTATTCAGAAGAAAATCCACCACCCAAACACTTTTCTCAAACTGTCGCTAGCTGCACATAGGACATTCTTTAGAGCAAGGAAGGTGCTAGAAGAGAAAGAAACATACGACACCACAACAATACTCCCGTGAGCTTGCGAAGGCTGAAAGATTAAATCCTTCAGATCTTCCCAAGGGCGTGAAGCAACGCTCTAAAAGCAGGAAGAAAAATGCACAATAGCCTTGACTTAAATATCCCTTTTAGGCTTAAGTCTGCAAAATTAAGTAAAGGATAATCCATTTAGAGTGAAAAATCACAACATTTTTCCGCAACTGGCAAAATATAGAGAAGAGCAGGAGAAAAAAGAAGAAAAAGAGAAAAAAGCCAAAGTGGGTCCAAGGGAACTTCCTGTTTCTAATCCTACAGAGTAATGAACAACAAAAAACACCACACACAAGACATGTACACATGCAGACACAACTTCCAGCTCAGCACATAATCAGACTTGCCAACTTGCTACTAATCCCGAGCTTGTTGCACTCACCTCATGGAATCCATGGGCAGTCAGTATGCTTCGGACCAGGCGGCTGTCCGTCCGTACGATCTTATAGGACAAGTGGTAGTGCTCTGTTAAGACAGCAAGAGACACAACATTAGAGTCTGCACCTAGAAAAATCAACCAAAGTTACCTGTGCTACCAAACCACAGAGAAGAGCACCATAGGACTTGGCACAGAACAGCTGCACTTAATCCACGGTAGCAGCACATAACAGACAGGTAATTTCTGTCACCATTTGCCTACATCTTGAGGCATTAAATCCAATGATTGCACTGAAGCAAATTACATCTGTCATCAGGTGTAGTATTTCTACATCACTGAACCCTGTCCTATCAAAATAGAAACCTGTTCATTTGTTAGAAGGTCCTGACATATATATATATATTACTATTTTTTAACAGCTCTACATAGCCTGCTTTATAACATTCCAAATAACAATTTCAGCTCTTCCTTCTTAATTCAAGATGAGTATTCCTAGCTAAAAGCAATCATGCCATATACCCCTCACTGAGGCAATTAGATTGCATGACTACTTTTAGCGTTTTATTTTAGTCTTTCAAGGTCTATGAATTTTTGTTCACATCTCCTTCAACTGTACTGATCTTCCAACAAATAACTGCAAAAATGGTAGGAAATAACATAAATAGGACAAGTAGTAAATGAAAAAATATTACCCAAGTAAAAAGTCATGATTAGGTCTCAGAAAATATGTTCTACCAGTAAAAATAAGTCTAAAGAAAAGAATAAGAAGTATCATCATCTGGGACTGGACAAAAGTCTAAAGGAAATTTAGTTGCACTGTCCAGTAGTAGACACGTTAAATAACAAAAATCCTCTACGGCCTGAGAAAAAGTATAAGAAACACCGCGCTCCAATTAGGGCACAAGTTACAATCACCATCAGCTTCTGCCACCAAGTACATTTGTAACACACATCAAAAGGATCAGGAGTTTTTACACACAAATCACCTTCTCCACCCCTTACCCAAAGGAGCCAAGAGCATTTCTGCTTGGCTAGGACATTAGAAATGAGTGCACCAATTATCTAAGAAAGGGAGAAGCAAGAGAAGAAAGAGGTGTCAGCATCTACACAAGAAAAAGCTGAGTGTATTTTAGTTTTTCCCCAACTCAGCACATCCAGAAAGAGTTCCCAGCCATACACACCCACAAGCACTAACTCTCGCAATCTGGAGTGACTCTTTATAACAACTTTGCCTTATTTAGAAGCTCTCCCTTGTTTGACACTAGACAGGTTTAGTCTGACTGTAGTGCTGTTATAAAAGCAATCATTTTGCTTACAGCCTTACTCACAGTTGTGAGGCTATAGAAGCTGAGATTTGTTTTTAAACCTTACTACTATTAATACCACTGCAGGGCTGGCGGCTCTGTTTCATGATGAAACCCTCTGAAGACTCAAAACTCACTGGAAGGATTGATTTTAAGTTCTCAGCTAAAAATTAGTGCATTTATCTTCTGGTCACAGGTTCTAGCACAGCCTCCAAATATGATTTGTTCCAAATCAAAACGTTCCAGGACCCATCAGAGGGCCAAAGATAAGCACTTGTCACAAACCAAATGTGATACACATTCACCAATTCGACCAAGTGTTTCTGAATGTCTCCAAGCTCAGAGACAAGAGATTGTAGTTTCCTTCCTATCAATTCCTCTCCCCCACAAAGAGAAGGGAACATCTCAGTGTGAGACTTCTGCTTCACACCTTCAAGCTGTCGTCTTGCTGCACCCACCTCCAATTAGGCGGAGGTAGCTGTCGTTGGTCAGAATGGCATCAGCATGAAAGACGAAGATAGGGATCCGCCTGCAGCCACCACCAGTCCACCTGATGCACGGATGATCCCTAAAATAGCAAGGCAGTTAGTGTTAGCAGCTGCTGAGCCTCGCACACACGCAGCAGTTACTGACTGGGAGGACACAGCAGTTCCCTGCGCTTGCCCGTGCTTGCTCACCTAGCCCACGGGCAGGACACGGACACACGCAAGGTACCCTGGTTCTCAGCTAAAAAGGGAACCTTCTAAATCATCCTCTTTGGGGGTCAGTCTTATCATTTTAACTAGGAGCTTCACTTAATTTGTATTGATTTGATTGAGCACAATTTGGGAGAAAATCCGTGAATTTTCACAGCTACATTTCTCTGGATTTACAGCGCATCTGAGAACAAGATCCATAGCTCAGAGTAGGCTGTCACTACTGATATCCACACAACCAGACCTTACAGCACTGGTTTCAGTCCCTAATTTAAGAGATTAAAATCTGTGCATACTGCCGGGTTGTAAACCTGGACTCTAAAGTGAGCAAAAGGGCACTCCTGCAAAGTTTGACAGACTAGAGAAGATTTGGCTCAATGCAATGATTTTATGTGTTCTTCCTTTCTAATTTCTGCCAGGCGCAGGGGAACGTGAGCCCAGAATTCAACAGCGATGCCCCCAGGAAGCCACTCAAAGCTGCTCCAGGTTCCCAGATCTGTCCTGCCCGAAACAACAGCCCTATGTTGTGAACTACCAGCTGCTCAGATAGAGGAATTAAGGACACACACACACAAATAAAATTTGTGATACAAAATCCTAAGATGACAGAAAGCAAGCCTGTCAACCTGCTGAAGCAAATAAAGCTCAGACTGCTTATTACTCCTTGCTCAAGGCAACAAAACTATGAAAAAGTTAACAGAAAACAGAAACCAAAGGGTTGGAGAGGCATATCTGTATCTTTCTACGCCAAAATAAATAAATAAATAAATAAAATGGAAGAGTGGCACAGAGAAAGAAGCAGAGAGAAGCATTTGACAGAGAGAAGCATTTAACATGCAAGATTGTGTGCCAAAAGTTTGGAGACACTACAGAAGACAAAAACACTTCCTATACCTAGCACTAGGAAAGTCCTTTTTAGTGTAACCTTGGTCCTCTTAACCAAGTTACCCCTGACAAATCAGTTCCACAGCACTGCCAGCTGCTTCTGCTGCCTTCAGAAATCAACTGGTGGGGTGTAATGAACTGTTCAGATGGAAAGGACCCAAGAGGATTCCAGAACTTACAGGACAGGCCAGAGCCTTATATAAGTGGGAAATGAGCTGAGGCAACAGAAGGGGAGGTTACGTTAAGCCTGCCCCGAGGATTTGCAGTAAGGCTACCAGGGCTCAGACAATCCTCCAGGTGACCGTCACTCATTCCTAGCCTGACACTTGGCCACTTAACACAGGCAGGCTGTTAGGAAGACGTTGCAGTCAAAGGCAGCTCTTCACCTGGTGCTCCGTAAGGGTCTGGCAAGGCTGAGCCAGCTACTGCTTGGTGTGAAGGGAGGTTTCACTTCACCCTAGAGCCCTAAATCCTGAGCCCTAGCGAGAAGAAAGCAAGCAGAATGCATTAAAGTGAGTGAAATTGATATAAAAAATAGGGATTCTGGCCTGGGGAAGAGGAAGGGAGCAAAAATAAAAGAAGATACCAAGCAAGGATGGAACAGATACACCAGCAACTCACAGGAAATTCAGAAGCTGAGGGGAAACACCAGAGCTGCCATAAGCCAGTTTTAAGCCAGGATACAGAACAGCGTGGGGCACACCTCCCTTCTCTGCGGGGAGCTCAGAACTGCAGCTACACAGCGACAGCGACCAAAAAAAGCCGCCAATTTCCCTCATTTCCCCACGTGCCCCCCAAGAAACCTCCCAACCTGCGACCACCACAGAAAAAACACCACAGACAGACGCAGCTTTGGAGCCCGCCCCCCCCGGGCTCCCCCCCACCTCACCTCAGCCCGTCCGCGGCCCCCTCCTCGCCTTCCTCCTCCTCCTCCTCCTCATCCTCCTCAGCGGCGGACGAGCCGCTCTGCTCCGCGTCCCGCGCCGCGGCGCCCGGCATGGCCTCAGGGGGGCTCTCGCGGAGCTCCCGTCACGCGCGGGGAGCCGTTAACGGCCGTTAGTGGCCGTTAGTGGCCGTTAACGGCCGCGGGGGGCCCCAGCCCTGCCGCCTCAGCCGGCCCCGCTGGCGCGGCGCTTCCCCGTTACTACAACAACCGCCGCGCCCCGCCTCACTGCGCAGGCGCCGCCCGCCGCCCGCACTGCGCAGGCGCGGCGGTAGGCACGGCCGGCTGAAGGAAGGGGCGGGACCGAGCGCGGCGAGAGAGGGAGCTGATTGGTGGGTGGGGCTCTCGCGCCGCGTGGCGCGCGGCCGGCGGCCAATGGGAGCGCGGGAGGGAGGTGGGGTTGGGCCCCGCGGGGAGCGGGAGCTCAGTGCGCCGCCGGTCGGCCTGGCGGCAGGATGAGCAGGTTCCTCTGCGTGCTGCGCAGCTGGCTGCTCATGGTGTCCGTCATCGCCGGCCGGGAACACCCTGCAGTGCTTCCGCGACTACAGCTTCGTCTCTGAGAAGCTCTACACCGCCAGCCCCGGCCTCGGTAAGGGCTGAGGGGCTGGGCGCATCGCGGGGCCTGGCAGGGCCGCGGCGCCTCGGGGGGTGTGGGGGCTCCCCTGTGGAGCGTCCCCCGCCCACCTCGGTTCTCTCCCCCCTTCCCTTGCAGTGAACGGGCTGCAGGCCCGGACGTTTGGCGTCTGGACCCTGCTGTCCTCCGTGGTCCGCTGCCTCTGCGCCCTGGACATCCGCAACCAGACGTATGTGGGGGAGGCAGGGCGAACTGTGGGGCATGGGGAGCACCACGGGGGGTGGGGGGTGCAAAAAGTGCTTCTGGGGGGCTGGGGGTCTCTCTCTGGAAGGGCTTTGGGAGCAGCGCAGGGTTTGTGCGTTAGCTGATTCTGCCTTCTGCCTGCGTGAGAAGAGCGTGCTCCTTTGTGTTACCAGGTTTTTATGTCATGTGTCTCCGAGCCCCAGCTTGGCAAGCATCTGCAGGTGAGGGTGCTGCTCTGTGGGTGTTAAGCTACCTGGTGATGCTGATCCCGCTGGTACCTTGTTTCCTGTGACAACTCAGATAACAGCTATGGCAGGTTGAGGGAGCCCTTGCTGTGCTCCTAACACTCAGCCTTCTGTCATATATGCTTTTACCTGGGGCCGATGACATGGCCTGAGGCACAGTGTGTAGCCATGGCAGATGTGGCAGGAGGCAGGCTGTGTGTCCCCTGTAGTATCAGGAGTCTTTCTGAGTGGGATTTTCCTGCAGAGTGACCTGGGTCTGTGCTAGGCAGAGCCTGTGCTGGAGGCTGGTGGAACTCAACTACTGTCACTGCCTCCTGCAGCCCCAGGGACTGCCCAGGCTTGTCTGTGGTGGGGAGCTGCAGGGACTCCACTTACCTGTATAAATCTGTGGCTCGGGGGGTACTGGCAATAGCGATAAAGCCCCTTGTTTCTCAGAAGGATTTTGTGTCTTGCAGCTCATGGACCTGCTCCCTTTCTACAGCTGTGGCCCCTAGAGGGTAGCAGAGCACGGGTGGGAAGATGTCTTCCTGGGGGATGCAGCCTGTAGGCAGTCATGTCCTGTTGCCCTGTTCCTCAGTGCATCCAGTTCTCACCTCTTTTTGCATGCACACTTGCTTCTCACTTCACCAGTTCCCTACCTTTGCTCTCCCCCCTCTTCCTTACCTTCAGGCCAGACAGTGACAGTGGCTTTCAGTGCACCAGTGAACATGTTGCCCTGTTCTCCTCCCAGCTGGTGCCAAGTGCCTTCTGCTCCCACAGCGAGGATGGACTGGGCAGCATGCAGGTTTACTGCTTTTCCACTCAGCCATGCCTGTACTATGGGGCGTGTGATAACCTGTTTCCTGCTTTCCAACAGCCTCTACTACATCACACTCTTCACCTTCGTTGTGGCCCTTGCTCACTTCCTCTCAGAGGTCTTCATTTACCACACTGCAGCCTTGACAATGGGAATTATGGCACCCCTCATGGTAGCGAGTGAGTAGAGCTCTGCATCCTTCCCTCCTGCCCCCCAGCCTCCCTGGAGCAGTGCAGGTGAATATCTCATCTGTTCAGCTCTTTCTACGTGACTTAGACTGTATCTCCATCACAGGTTTCTCTATCCTGGGGATGTTGATCGGGCTGCAGTACCTGGAGGTAGAAGCGCAGTCACAAAACAAGAAGAAAAACTGAGACCAAGTGTCTTGTCCAGGTCAGCATTGGCTCCTGTCTTCACTGCCAGATTTTGACTGGAGCTCTGCTGAACTCCCCCAGGACACCAGTCCCACCAGCAGATCGATGTTGGACTCTGTCAATCATTCATTGCTGAGTTTTTTCATGTCCAGGCAACACTTTGACTGACCAGTGCCAACAATCAGGCCCCAGAGGAGTTCACGCCAAAGCTTGCTGGGGGCGTTTGGTGAGTGCCTCCCTGAGGGATGGCAGGGAACGTCTCTGGCATGCCCAGTGCACTAAGGACTGTGCTCCCCATGCACTTGTGGGGAGGAGGTGTAGAGCCACCTGGGATCCACTGACCATGTAGACGGGAAAGAGGGATAATGTGCTGCCCCTGGCACTGCTGTGTGACTTGCATGTGCATGTTCTACAGGGGCTGTTTCTAATAAATGACAGAAAACTGCAGGGCACTGCGTCTGTCTTTTCAGCTATCCAGGAGGGAGTAGAGGATGTACAGCCTTGGAACAGGCAGTTTCTACTCCATGTTGCAGGAAAGATCCTCTCTTTACAGCAAGATGGGAGTTTTTCCTTGACTCCTTCCAACAAAGCTCCAGGTCTGATTGATCTCTCTCCCTGTCACACACAGGTTGTAGTTCTTGCTTCTGCAGCATATAAGTGACAACAAACCCCATGCATCCATGAGCGAGGACTGAGCTATAGCTACAGCAAGCAGGAAAACAGAACAGGTTGCTTAGACCTAGATGAAATAATGCCCGCAACAGATGGGCAGTGCACTGAAGGCAGGATGGAACCAGAAGGAGCTGCCAGCTGGGAAGCCTGTGCAGAAGAAAGGGAAAGAGGAAAAGAACACAACAGTAGCAGCGGGCAAAAAAAGGATTATTCTGCAGTATAGTTCAGGCTATTAAACAAAAACCACCTGGAGACAGTTTCAAGCATTTAATATGAAATTGTCACCTTGCATTATACACTTAGTGTTTTTTAATATAAAATTTACATTTAAAAACCATTTTAGGCCCCAACTATCAAAGAAAGGACTTCTGGTTCAAACACTGCACATTTTCTCTTAAAAAAGTTTTGTTAAAAACCCTATGTTAGAGAAGGCCGTTTTTATCCATTCCATATTTGTGCTTTGTTTTTTGTTATTCCAAAATGGCACGTACATCATTGCATGATCTAAGTTTAAGAACACTTGATGTCTCCCACCAGGGGATGGATGCTGGAAAGGAAGGCAAAGGGATATACGGGTCTCTCTCCCTTTGTGAGTGCAAGATGAGCAGCAGCATACAGAGGGGCAGTGTCTACGAGACACAAATGCTGGTGAGAGGGCTTCAACCCCCACCCTTTCCTCCTGTTCTCTATTATAAGGGGGAAGTTCCCACACTACAGCACCTTTTTTGTTCCCATCATGCCCAAAACAACTCCCCAGGGCAACACAGCCAGCCCTGCCTGGTTGGCTCACTGTAGTACCCCACTGACTTCTCTGTAGTGTCAAAACCTGCAAAAGGCACTTTGTCAGTGAGGAGGAAGATGTGATCCTCACGCTGTTGTCCAACTGTCCTGTTGCTGGCATAGTGTTGAGCTGGGCTCAGGCTGTAGCTTCAACATCTGCCCCAGAACTAGACCTTGCCTCCAACAGGAGATCCATGGGTTCCTCTCAGTTACTCCTACTACATCAGAGCAACTTCAGTGAATTCTAAGGCGGATTATCCTTAGCCTGATACAAAAACTGCTCCTGGCAGCAGCAGCTGCACTGCTTTGCAGTGACTGGTGATGTGCTGAGGGCTCTATCATCACCCGTGCACCATGCAGAAGAGCACAGGCACTCTGAGGAATCCCTCAGAGGGATCACAACTCCCACAGGGTTACTCACAGAGTAAACATAGTCCAGCATCTGCATTCCAGGTCACACCTTCCCTGAGAGAAGAGACCACCTGCAAGGTGCCACCCTCACACGACCAGACTTCTCCAAGCATACGTGGTAGGGGCAGCAGGGGTTTCTCCCAACTTTTCCTCTTAGCACAGTCTCCAGAACAGCAAGATGCAGAGGTACAACCGACAAACGCAATTCCCTTCTCGTTTCACTCTAGGAGCAGTTCTCAGCAGCCCCCCACCAGAATTCAGGAGGATGGTGCAGGTAGCAAAGGTGGGAATGAGGGCAGGGGGGAGCCGAATCCTCTATCTCCCAGCTCTGCCACCCCTCTTTTTTACAGCTTTGATTCCTTGAGGACTACGGGAACAGTGCAGGCTTCTGGCATCACTTTCTGCAAGTCAGACAGAGGAAAAGAATATGGTTAGGATCCCACATGGCCAGACCTAGGCTTCAGAGACCAGCTGGCCAGAGGCTGGCTCATTCACAACTCCCTGTAAGCATGCAGGCATCAGATAATCACAGAACAGTTTGGGCTGGATGGAGCCCTTACAGATCATCCAGTCCAATCCCCCTTGTCACAGACAGGGACATCTTTTCACTAGGTCAGGTTGCCCAAAGCCCCATCCAATCTGACTTACATCCCCAAAGGCGAATCACCACCCTCAGGGAGCTCAACCCAACCTGGCTCCCTCCTCTGCCTCCAGAGGGTTTTAGTGCTCAGACAAGGGACACTGGGACACCAGGGCAGAGCAGCGATCCCACTTCCCTTAAGCTACTTGCTGCAGTCCTCATGATGTCCCTGTGATGTGAGGTTGACCTCAAAGTGGTGAAGCTGCAGGGGCAGTTCTCCGGGCAAGGGAAGAAACTGGGAACTCCTCCTGCATGCCGTGGAGAAGGGCAGTATCCGTGCAAGTGCCACAGAACCTCTATCCTGTGCACCCTCCGAATTTTATAGAAGGAGGCTCAGCACAGCAACTAGCTCCTATCTTCTCTGTCACATCAGAGGCATCAGAGGGCTTCTTCATCTCCCTGACAGGTTTCTGGTACTGCTCACCTTTGAATCTACACATCCCCATCTTACCCCCGTTCAGCACTGGCACCCTCTGCCCACTTTCTTCCCTGACCCCAACTTAGATTTATGGCTGGGATAATTCACAGAGTAATACCAGTAAAGCCTTCTCCAAAGTTCATTACTCATATCCTAAAAAAGCCATAAGAAATAAAACAGAAACCTCTCCAAGTTCTGACAGCTTATAGTGGGACACAACTGTCACTGAGTCAGAGCACAGCACACAGACTGGTAAGGGTAAATGTGGAGTCTCCCAGAGCCTGGACTTTGAGTTAACTCACTGTGGGGCAAAACAGATCTGAGGCAGGAGTCAGAGGTACATGAGAAAGGCTCCGTGCTGTTCAAGAGAAGTCCACGCAGCATGGAAGCAAGAGTTACAGAAGAGTTTCATTTTGAGTAGCCTCTTGCACAAACTGCAGCTGAAAAGGTTGTACAGAGGGCAGCAGCAATATTCCAAAGCAGAGGAGTGAGGTGAGGAGAGCTCCAAAGAAATGCCTCGAGGCAAAAGCAGTGCAGAAAAGCCTCCTACCAGCAGGAGGGGTTGCATGAAGTAGTGCCAGCAGTAGGAATAATGGGAAAGCTGCATTCAGGCTTGGGAAATCCCACTAGAATGAGTCAGAGCAGCATGCTGGCAGCCCTGAACAGGCTCCCCAAGCAGCTCTGGGATCTCTACGCTGCCTACCTGCAGTGGAGCTACAGGAACAGTGGTTTAGGAGATAGCCAGCCTGCAGGACTCCCCCGCCTTGGTAAGGGAAGGCTGCTGCTGCAGGTGGGAGTGCTACAAGAGGACCTGCAGTTGGCCTGCCCATGGCTTGGGGAGAAGAGAGCTTGCTACACAGTAAATACAGGAAGGGAGCATGGAAGTTTAAGCAGCAGGAGATGGCATGCACACTGTGCCTACTATGCAAGATTCCAGCAGGTTTTTGTTTTGTGGGTTTTGTTTGTTTTTACTGAGCTAGAACATGCTACAGCTTGCAAGGTATAGAGGTAGAATGCCTTCCCTGAGGCCCTAACCAGCCTCTAAATCACACTGTCCTTGAGATGAAAAGGAAACACACACGGGTATTCCACTGAGATTCATCACATGCATCTTTGCAACTAAAGAACCATCAATACAAGGTGCTTAGCCCTGAGCAAGTCTTGACCTATGCTATACGTGGCTGGAGGACACAGCAGAACTTCAGTCCTGTTTCAAACAAGTCTCTTCCTGTGGCTGTACCTCCAGAATGACCTGTGACCTCAAAACCATCTATACACATCAGTGCTCAGCTCTGCTGCTAGAGTAACACTCCAGATTACTTTTTTTAAATTTTATTACTATTCAAAAACTGGAAAAGAGTCAGAAAGCACTCTACTCCATGCTTTCTACTACCAAGAACAAGATCTTGACACACAAACAGAGTTAAGTTTATCTTCCCCTATATGAAACCACTACAAAGTGCCCTGAACACACCTTAATCAAATTTGCTATTTTCAACGAGATCTAGCAAAGTCCAGTGTATAGAAATAAAAGACAATCCTGCCTTTCTCTATAGGATGAGCAGAGGCTGTACACAGCATATACAGGACTCTGATATGTATCCCGAATCAACTGACAGCACTATGAAGCCTTAAGGCAGAATGTTGGAGTGACTTCAGATACACCTACAACAAAGGTAGTCCCTTTTTGAGCTCGTCATCATGCAAAAAGGGCATTTGATCCAAGTGACCTGAGATAAAGAAAGCTGACCCTGCTAACGCTCTGGGAACTGACAGAAACAGGAGGTTAGCTGCAACCACATTACAGCTTTTTTAATAGAGGACAAGGTGTTCACAGTGCCATTAGGCTAATTTAGATCCACTGCAAGTTCTATTAATTGCTTGTGAACACAAGGCAGGTCCTGCAGAAAGAAGGGAAAAACATCCTTGCAGTGTGGATGCAGTCACCAAAAGCTCTGACAGGTGGCTGCTTAGAGGCTGTGATCCCTGGGCAGAGAGTCAAGGCTGAAAAATGCTCGCTCTCTTCACTGAAGCTATGGCATGACACACTCCTCCCTGCAAAATGAACAGTTCAGCCAGATTCTCGTCTTTCCCTTTCATCACCAGGACACACTGCTAGGTGGAGATCTCTCTGTGTAAGAATTAACTTCTATATTTTTTCCCCTTGTGTCTTAACACCCTGGAAAACCAGGCTGTCTTGCAGTCTCATCCTGCACCAAAGCTGAACATCCAGTTTAAAGTTGTGACAGTTCTCCACCAGATCATTTCTCCACCAGGAAGACTCAAACCAACTAGGCCAATACTCAGGAGGTGGGAAGGATGGGTCCTGCACAGCTCCACAACTCTGCATCCTCTGCAAGCTCAAATCCAACTCTGGAAGCCTGTCCTCTCCTTGCAACAGCCACACTGCAGCATGCCTGAGCCTCACAATGTCTGTTTTGCAGTGGGGATATCAGCAGTAACACCGGCAGCTGTACCAGCGTAGGGCTGATAGCAGTGAAGGCAGTGACATAAGCTTCAGCCACCAAAAAAATTGCCAGTACACCACCACAGGCTCGCCCAGCTCACACACTCTCCAACACTCTGCTGTTATCTGTTAGCCCTGTTGGCTGTGGCCACGAAGTGATAGACGCATTTAATGAAAAGCAAAGGGCAGTAAGGTTAACCTGACAGGGCTGCCAGCCAGCACAAAGCAGAGCACAGTGAGTAATAAAGCACTGCACCCGAAGCAACAGCTGAGGAAATGCCAAGTGCAGCTGAGATTCACAGATCACCAAGCACAGAGCTTTACAATTTTCAGAGATTCATATACTAAAAGGCACCAACCCAATGACTTCCTTAGAAAACATTTTGTTGTCTTTTTTTTTTTTTTTAAATAAACTTCATGTAGTTGGCCACACACCCTGCTTGTGATGAGAGCCAACTCTTCTACAGAGCTTCTGGTATCACTTCCAGCCAAGAATCTGGGCAATAAAAGTATCAGAGGAAGGCCTACAAATACCTGCACTTCCTCTCCTCAGTAACTTATTGACACTTCAGTTTTTCATGTGCTCCAATGCCCAGCTCTGCTTTGCTGCACCTCTTCAAATGCCCCCATCTGATGCAAGTCTGGTGGGATCATTCAGGAAAGCTGAATTACCTTTCCTCTCAAACCTGCCCCCAGGAAGGCCAGCACTCAGCACTCTGTGGCTATTGCTGCTGACCCACTCGTGTCATTGGCTTGGTGCCTGTGCCACCCGTGAATGTTCAGACAGGCAGATTAGCGTGATTCTCCTACCTTTGTGTGTGAGCTAGTGAACAGGAATGGGAATTGATGGGGTTAGGGTTACAAGCTACAAGTCCATAATCCGTGATCTGACTGCTGCCCTGGAGTCTCTGTAACAACAGCCACAAGTCAGATCCCAGAAAAGAGGGAAGCGAGTAGGGAAGGAAATGAGGGGAGGGAAAAATCAAAGTAAGAGGGACAGGCAAAGAAAGAAACCCGTAAAAATCACCCAAGCATGTGTAGGGCAGGCATGCCAGGTAGCAAAGCTCCAGTACATGACCCCATCAGAGCTCTCCACAAAGGCAGCACACGGTGCCTAAGCCCAGCTGACTGAGGCACCCACGTTAATGCAGAACACCAGGGTCAGCCCTGTTTCAGGAGGTCAAGCACCCGGGGTTCTTTGTTAAACCTGAGAAATAACCAGGTGAGCTCAGCGATTCGGAAGCCACGTTTGGGGATGAGGAGTTGGGGGGGGCATCCATGACGACTTCCACAGAGCATGACTCCTTGGGGAGAAGAAGCTGCCAAGGAAGTTTTTGACTAACGGAGACCTATTACCTCACACACGTCCCTCTGGTTCTTACTGCAGTCAGTTCTGGAAGCCTTTAGGATTATACAAGTGACGCCTATGCTACCTTTTTCTCTGGTCTCAACACCCCCTCTCCAGCAGCAAGATCTTACAACTGTATTTTAGATTTTTAAAAAGAAGTGGTAAAAGCATACAATTCATCTGGTGAGAGAAGCGTCTGACAAAGGTAAAGGACCTTATTACTGCTAGGCATCACATGCACTGCTAAAGGACCTTGATATCTCAAGGATTTCCACAAACATGCTTTGAATTAACAGGCAGTGTCACCAGCACTTCTCCCCATGGCCCTTGTTACCACAGGGCTTGTACAGAATGATTTAGCCTTAAAATTTATCTCCTGCTTCATCACTCTAATCGAGGGACACAGGCAGTTTGGTGTGCATCAAAACAGACTGCTCTTTACCCCAGCTCAGCTTAGCTAAGTGTCTTCCAGTTAACTCCACTCGTGCCAGGACTCCAGGAGAGCAGTAGTCTTCTAGCTCAGACCTGTAGGCCATGAGGCTCACCACTACTGAAATCAGCCCAAGCTGTCAGCCTCGGAGAAGAAAAATAGCAGGAATTCTTAAGTTATGGCAATGGGAGGGACTCCTTTACCCAAACTAGATCAACCACGCAGCTTTTTGTTTTGTCTACTCTAGAACTTTATGTGCAACCACCACCCAAGGCAGCATCAGCTCCCTCTACTTATCCTACCCTCTGTATATTTGCTCAGATAGCTTTGTAAAAATAAAACAAATTAAATTTAAAAGCATGTATTTTGTAATTGAAAATCCACCTTCCTGAGCAGCCAGTTGCAGCAGGGCTGCTTCTTGCACCTTCTGGTCTCTCCCCAGATTAGATTGGCTAGATTATCTGAAGGAAGGCAGCACTGTCGTCTGAAAAGGGCTGACTTGAGCAAGCAGGGAACAGAGCTTATGCACTTTGGTAGTCATGGTCATTGATGGCTTCACGAACATGGAGTGGATGGCTCTGCTAATGCCCTAGAAGAGGAGCCCAGAGCAGTAAGAAGTGCCCCAAGAAGCCACCCGTCCCCTCTCTTTCCCTATAGGGAGAATTTGAGAATATCCACTGCAGTTCATTCACTAGAGGTCCTCTCCCACATGCAAACAGCTGCATTTATGGCACAGCACGCCACAGGTACCCTGAATTCTAGTGCTCACACATGAACTAGCAGCCCTATCTATAGAACTGCACGAAGTGGGAGGAGGCAGGCTGCTCAAGCCCCAATTTGGGCTTTGCTACTCAGTTTCCTTGTGTCCCAAGCAACGAACTCCACTTTGTAGCTGAGGATAGGAAATGACAGGAACAATCTGCCCCTCTAAGGAGCTGGAAGAATGGTCACCCAGCTCTAAACAATGCGAAAGCACTGGAGGGCTCGGTGCATTATTAAAGAGAGGCCAGCACAGCACTGCCCCACATCTCTCCTAGCCACTACCAACATGTGTGAAGCCCTGCAAATTCCCACAGGACCGGAGCCTACAGAGACTGCATGACATTAAAGCAAGCAAATATGGGCCCCCAGCAGCTGGCAGAGCTGGGATTACAGCCACCTGTCTGAAAATGCCAGCAAGGAGCTTCCCTATAGGCTGGGCAAGTGGTGGGATAAGAAAAGAGAAGCACAGCTACAGCTGTACCTCAGAAAGGGACAGCCCCATTCCTAGAAGGGAGGGAGGTTGGGGGTTGTCCTGAGCTAACAGCAGGTGTGCAACAGGGATTGAAGGGGATTTACTCACTGTACGTTCACTTTCCACATTGGCCTGCTGTCTTCGGAGATCAGCCTTAATGAATGCTGGGACAGAGAGAGGAAGAGAAATGTAAAGGCAGTTCAGTTGCCACACAGACCCCAAATCAATATCCCCAGGATTCTAAGGGGCAGCAGAGGCCTCAGAGGAGAATGCATAATGAGAAGCAATTGAAACCACTCTCCCAGAGGAGGAAGACAATTCTGAAGCAGGCACAGACTCCTTACTGCAACATGCAGAAGGCACATCTTGGAGACCCCAGCCAGCAGCCAGGGCAAGAAGCCTCAGATCTTTTTTGTAGGCCAGATGCTTGAAAAAGCACAACAGCATTGCTATGGGGCTGCCACGTGGGTCCTGTCCTTTCCTGAAGGCACCACTACACACGCAAGCCCTTCAGTTCACATGCCAGGCTCAAGGGGAAGAGTCACAGCAGAACACTGAGAAATTTAATTACCTGTCATAATGGTCCCCAGGAGCAGGAAGGAACAAAGAAAGAGGTTTCCTGCCTTCGTCCCATAGCGATCCATGATCTGCCCTTGGCTGATGGTGAAGGCAATACCAAAGATCTACAAGGAAAGGCAGGGTCAAGCTGTACAGTTATCATAAAGCAGCCTGAACAGCTTCCCAGCTTCATCCTGTGGTTTCCCATAGGATCCTACTGGACAAAACGTCCACCATACAGCTAAATAAAAACATCATACGATGGGTGAGCAATTGGCTAATGGGCAGGGCCCAAAGGGTTATGGTAAATGGGGCTGCGTCAGGCTGGCGGGCGGTCACCAGTGGAGTCCCTCAAGGCTCCATTTTAGGGCTGGTACTTTTCAATATTTTTATAAACGATCTCGATGTAGGAATAGAAGGCATTTTGAGCAAGTTTGCTGATGACACCAAACTTGGAGGAGTTGTGGACTCGCATGAGGGTGGAAAGGCCTTGCAGAGGGATCTGGATAGGTTGGAGAGCTGGGCGATCACCAACCGCATGAAGTTCAATAAGAGCAAGTACCGGGTCCTGCACCTGGGACGGGGAAACCCTGGCTGCACGTACAGACTGGGTGATGAGATGCTGGAGAGCAGCCTAGAAGAGAGGGATCTGGGGGTCGTGGTAGACAGCAAGTTGAATATGAGCCGGCAGTGTGCCCTGGCAGCCAGGAGGGCCAACCGTGTCCTGGGGTGCATCAAGCACGGCATTGCTAGTAGGTCGAGGGAGGTGATTGTCCTGCTCTACTCTGCGCTGGTGAGGCCTCCCCTCGAGTACTGTGTGCAGTTCTGGGCACCACAGTATAAAAAGGACATGATACTGTTGGAGAGTGTCCAGAGGAGGGCTACGAAGATGGTGAAAGGCCTGGAGGGGAAGACGTACGAGGAACGGCTGAGGGCACTGGGCCTGTTCAGCCTGGAGAAGAGGAGGCTGAGGGGAGACCTCATCGCAGTCTACAACTTCCTCGTAAGGGGGTGTCGAGAGGCAGGAGACCTTTTCTCCATTAACATCAGCGACAGGACCCGCGGGAACGGGGTTAAGCTGAGGCAGGGGAAATTTAGGCTTGACATCAGGAGGGGGTTCTTCACAGAGAGGGTGGTTGCACACTGGAACAGGCTCCCCAGGGAAGTGGTCACTGCACCGAGCCTGTCTGAATTTAAGAAGAGATTGGACTGTGCGCTTAGTCACATGGTCTGAACTTTTGGGTAGACCTGTGCGGTGTCAAGAGTTGGACTTGATGATCCTTAAGGGTCCCTTCCAACTCAGGATATTCTATGATTCTATGATCTCAGTATCTGAGCATAGGCCGACAGCTTGTCTGACCTCTACCTAGGCTAAATTTTAGTTATAAACACATCCAGGGGCACCTCCTCACAGCTAAGAGAAAGACAGGTGACCCTTAATGCTGGAATCCCATCTCTCACTGGAGAGGAGGCAGGTCCTGGGCTGTTAGCAGCGATGTTGGAAAAGGCAAGGATGACTGGTATCCTGATGGACATTCTCCTCAGCAGAAACAGAACAGAGAAATGCCACAAGGACTGTCATTGAAAAGCCACATCCTGATGCGCTTGGATTCATGGTTCAAGACAATAATCATGGACAAGAAACGGAGGTGAGAGATGGGAACAACAGTTTGATATATCTGGTTTTAAAGAGGGAAGAAAAGGAAAAAAAAAAAAAACACAGAACACCTACCTGTGCTGAGACATTAAGGAGCCCTGATGATGTTCCCTCTGATTCTGGGTATGTCAACTCTGCAGCAAACTCGAAGCCCAGGGGAAGGTACCCTGTCATGAAAAATCTGAAAAAGAACACACGGAAAAGGTGGCTCAGTAACTGCTAGGAAGAAGACCAAAGAGGCACAATGCAGCCCAAATGCCTGTTGGGATGCTTGACTGACTGCACGGGATGTTTTCCCTATTATTGCCATAGCCCATAGAACTGAGTCCCTCTTCATGGCATAGGTCCCCCCTCCTACCCACAAATACTTTTGCCCACAGCCTTGGGGCACAGCATCATCTACAGCACCCACGTCCCATTCACTTCCCAAACACTTTGCCTTGATTACCTGGGACAGTTAAGGCAGCTGCAGCTAAGCAGGCTGTGCTAATGTCCCTGAGTAACAAAACATGAGTGTGATGGGAAGCACAGATCTTTTTGTCCTTATCCCATGGGGGAGCACGCTATGGTTCTTCCCAACCCCTCCAGGATCGTGACTCCTGCCTCCCTGCCATATCCTATTAGCTTACACGCAGAGGAAAGCAGCCTGCACATGAACTTACCCCAGCACACCTGCAGTCACAAAGACCACCCAGAGGTGGCCTAGACTCAGAGTGAAAGTGTAGACTATCATTCCCACCAGAGACATGATATAGACCACTAGCGTTGTCTGCCTGCAAGGAAAAGCACGGTCAGGGTTTCATTTAATCAAATCCTACTATTCTTTTCACCCACAGATCTTGATATAGTTTGCAGCACACGGTAACAAAAAAAAAAGTTGCACAGCTTTCTCACATCCTTACCACAGACAGAGGAACTGGACTGCTACAGAGCTCAGCATGGTCTGCACAGACAGCAGGAGAAGCAAAAACAGGACCTAGGAGTTCTCATATCCCAACCTCACAGAGGGTTAGCTCTGCGTGGGGTCCAGGCATCACACCTATGAAGAAGCACCTATGAGGCAGCCAAGAAGCTCAGGTCCCCAGTCTGACAGGGGACAGCAGCCTGGTCAAAAGAGGGCTGACTGCAAGGCTCAAGGCAAGAATTACAGCTCACTGTGCTGTGCAGACCAAGTCCAAAGCAGGTGGGGCTTCCATAAGCAGGAGTCTCCAAGCCATGCAGGATTCAGTGCTAAAATACATGCTCAGCAGCATTGGCCTCCAAGAAGCACCTACAAAGCTTAATCTCTGCTAGCAGGGACAGTTGGGACACCTGGATAATATTTTACACCCACCCCAACTAGTTTTGGTCTCAGTGCAGAGGTCTCAGGTTAGTCCTATGAAATCTCACCCAATTTCCCAGCCTCGTGGCTCAGGCACTGTGTGCAGTTTGTAACTGATTCACACTCTTGACGGTTGCCCACATTTGCACTTCGTTCTTCATCTCCAGGCAAAGAGGATGAATGAGTTAGTGACCAGATGTGGTCAGGACCTTGTTTCACATTGATGCTGTGTCATTAGTCAAGCTGCAAGAAGGAAGTTCCCAGAACACACGATCCCTCACTAAGAACTAGAGGAGGCTGCCTCAGAGAAGCAAGCAGCTCTTGCAGGTTAAAGCACATGGTGCTTTCCACTGGAGTTGCAGAATTACAGGGAAAAAAAACAAACAGAGGAAGCTTTTCCATCTTGTCATGGATACTGCACCTACCACACGTTAGCTGGCTGAAGGAGACAACAAGCTTTCCTTGTTAACCTGTTTCCCCCGCTCATTAGGCTTCAGCAGTACAAAAGGAACTGACAAATACTTAAGGAAGGAACCAGACCCCAGGCTTGCATACTGTGGAAGTCACGCACCAGGAAGGACCCTGAATCTCTGCACTGAGCAGGTCCCTGCCTGCCACAGTCCCTAACTGGGACTTCAGCACCCTAACTGGGACTTGAGCAGACAGCCCCAATGCACCTCTTGCTGCAGGGAAGGGCCCCAAGCACCCAGGCAGACTTCTGCTAAATCGGACTTCAACAAGGCCACGCTCCCCTGAGTATAGCACTGATGACAAAAAAGGAGACTTCAGTGCTCGGCAGTCTACACAAGGCCCAGATTTTTGCATACGAGCAAAGGGCTTCACTGAGGCATAAGTAGATGGGGCACAGGGAATCAAAGGAATCCCCAGGGAAAGATAACATGGTGCTTGCTCAGGAAGTGGTCTTGTCACCACATTTGCTGGGCAGAGGACAAGGAAAATGCTCTGTGACCCTAGGGGCACCAGGGCATGGCAAATGCCTTGTTTTCCTTGATAAGCCTCTTATCACAGCCATAAATATCTCATGGGAGAGAGAAAAACGTGAAGAAGAAACAGACTCATGGAGGACATTTGCAAAGCATCCTGGTATTTGTAGCAATCTGTGCCCGTGGTGGCCCTACAGGGACTGAAAATCATCCTTGGCTGGGACAGGTACAGCCAGCCTCCCCCGAGAGGCTGCCCACTGAAGTGAGTGCACGGTGGAAGTTACACGCCCTGCTACATCACCTTAGGACAACCAGGATTAACCTCTCTCCGTGCCACAGGGGGTGAGAAGGAAGCTCAGGGCACCAACATGCAGCACCAGCTGGTTTTGCATTTCTGTGGCAAAGGGAAATCCATGAAGGAGCTGACACGCTGATCGCTTGGGTGGATCTATGCTGTCCTGACACTTACCTGCCCCGCAGCCACATTCCCCAGCCTTTTTAAGAGGTGGACTAGAGAGCTTGTACAAGGGACTGAGAGAAAAGAGAGATGCTGGGGAGGAAAGGCAACCAGGGTCAGAGCTAGCAGGACACAGGACTGAAATGGAGAGCACCACCTCTGCTGTTCAGCCAACTCCAGAGGAAGCTCTCGAGCAAGGAATAACCACAGCCCAGCTCAGCTGTGTCTCATGAGGTCACACGGACAAGGAAAGCCAAAGGAGCAGAACCAGATTCACAAGGGATCTGAGCTGCAGGAACACTGGAGGCTGTTTGAACAAGGGGCAGGTGGGCTCACAGCTCGCTGTACAGCTTTAGCTGCTCACTGGGATGTTCTGTGCAGCTCCAGTGCTCTCTGCTGCATGGGCTGGGATGACAGACAGCCTCTGCAGGTTTTACCATGGGGACAGGACATATTCCAGGCTGTACAAGACCCTAAGTAAAGGCTTTGTTGCCATACTCAGAAGGATCTCACTGTTGAAGACACTGAGGCATCAGATTCTGGAAATGGGAAGAATTGGAGAGTACTGGCTTGAGTTTTTTTTGCTGTTCTTTTTTTTTGTTTGTTTGTTTACCACCTCCTTCAGCATTTAGTTTTATAATACTTGTGACCTTCACACAAGAAAAGTGGCATGTTATGGTAAAGGCATGTTCACTACACAAGGATTAGCCTGGAGGCCACATGAACACTGCCCTTAAAAGTCAAAGAGAAGCACTGATTAATCCAGTCCCTAAGCCCCTGATTCTAAGCCAGGCTCCCCTGCAAACACCAAGGCATCCAAAGCAAACCAGCAGCCTCCAGGTGTCAGAATCCCATCTCTTTTCTCGGCCAGGAACCTGAAGGATGCACGGGGAGCCCTGTTTAACTCAACATCAGAACGTGTTCTTTTAAGGAGGTGCTCTGCTCTCAGCCAGACATCCACCAAAGGCAGCCCGTGCTCTGGGCCGGCTCACTCGTCACATCACTTACGCATTTGCATGGGCCAAATCTGTGCCTGGTAATTCCAAAATAAGAACAGTGCCGGGGCTGCTGCAGGGACTTGCCTGCCAAATAAAAGCAAGAATGCAAGGCCATTTGGTGCCTGAGCACAACAGATGGGGGAAGCCGGACTTAGCACAGCCTCACCCTTGCAAGGAACTGCTGATGGGACAGTGAAGATCAAACATCCACACAGTGCTCTGCAGCGTCTTGTGTTATTAGCCTCCCTCTGCTCCTCTCAATCACAGCTGGATCCCATTAATTTGCTCCCCTCTCTCTCTCCAAGCTGACTAAAAAAAGGACTTGACATCTTTCCTTCCTGATTTTCATGTGCTTACCATTTCATTCCTGACACTATTTGAGCAGCAGAGAGAAGGGGGAGGGTACCTACCTAGAACATCTGGCATCTTGACAGTTTTTGAAATAGACTTTTAAATGAGGCTAAATAAAGACTCTGTAGTATTCAGAAAAAAAATTTTGCTCATTCCACAGAAATCCCACTTAGTGGACTGCAGTGGAGAGCAAGTTCTTAGCAGTGTTTTTCCTCATCTAAGGCTAAATCTATCCTCAGATACCCTTACGAGTCTGTAGGATAAAATCCATGGGTGGCAGAGGCCTATTTTTCTGCACTCAGACAGCTCTGCCCGCCTACGTGGTCCCTCCAAGCAGGGACATTGGAACAAATCCCGGATTTATTTTTTTTTTTCCTCCTGTGCTGCCAAATTGCAAGCCCCAGTCTCTGCCTCGTAAGCCACAGAGCTACTCAACATTTGTGCTACAGCCAAGCTCCATTTAGGGAGAGTCAGGAGGAGCATCCACCCCAGCAGTGCCAGCTGAGGCTACCTTGCCACTAGCCCCGGGCTGGAAAGAGCCAAGCCAGACCGCACAGTTCGCTAGTGCAGCTCACAACATCTGTGTTTCCATTTCCTCGGCCTGTCAAACGAGAAATAATCAATGGTACACCATCTAGAAACGGCAGCGAGCAACCTGCTGGTCTCTCTATTAGTCAGCTGCTCCTGCCCCCCAGCACCCCCAGGAGTCCTCGCGTACCATTCTTTCTTGTCACAGGAGCCCAGTTCCTGTCCTCTTTTGGCCTCTGTACTTGACAGCGAGGACCACAGGCTGCTTCAGAAGCTGCGAGCCCACAGCTTGCCAGCTTCACCCAACCTGCAAACAGCAGGGTACGCTGGCCAGATTTGCTTTCCCAACCCACCAGGCAGCAAATCCAGAATCATCCACCCACAACCCCAGCACCCTTTGCCCCTGCCCTGAATCCAGCAGCGCACACTTGCACAATGCCTCTGGGCACTGGATTCAATGCATCTTTCATTACACAGGACAAAGATGCACAGAAGCTGGTTTGTAAGGGCAGAGAAATGGTCTGGTACAGTCATTACTCCACTTGTGCCAAGAACTCTCTCATCCCTGGCAAAGGAGCTGCCAGCCCATCTCATCCTCTCCCTGTGCTTCCCTAGGGAGCACTAGAACCAGACCCTGTATGGTCCAGCACACACAAACACGCTCCTCTAAACTTCACTTTAGACTAACTGGATTTTCAAGACCTGTGTTTTTTTTTCCTACAAACCTCTCCCAGCGATTCATTACTTAGACCGCTGAGTTGCAGCTGCACTGGGTTTGCTACTTGTACAGAATGGGAGAAGAGCAGATTCACTAGGGGCACAAAGGCAAATAAGGGACTTACTTGTAGGTTTTGGTTCTGTCCAACCAGAGGCCAGAGATCAGAGCCCCAGCCATCCCCGACAGGACAAGGGTGAGTCCGATCCTGCCAGCATTCACCTCCTCCCCCTGTGGTAAGACACACACAAATGCAGGAGCCAAGTCACAGCCAACAACAAGCGAGGTGTGGAGAACCCGGACAGGAAGAGACACCAAAGTCCGTGTCCCACACACATCTCCTGTTAACATGCTAACCAGAAGCAGCGTTTGCAAGAACCCTTTTGGGCCTAGGCACCCTCTGAACCAGCCCAGCAAAAAGGTGAGCACTGGCCAACAGGCACTCTGCTGGCATCAGGATTGGGCCGGATCAGCCAGGGGGACCTGAAGAAAACACACCCTCATCACTTAGGGTGTAAAGGAGTTGTCTTTTCTAGAGCTCACCTGCTTTTTCACAAGGCGTTGTAAAGAACAGAAAGAACCAACACCCTCAAGCCAGCCCGCCAACCTGTGCCAGAGGCAGGCAGAAGTGCTGCAGTGCTGTATTTCCCACTCGGCAGCTAGCCCGGGTGGACAACGGCAGGCTGGAGAACAGCAAGCATCAGAGGGCCAAGAGAACTGGGTGCACTTACTGGGTAGTGATGGATCACCATGCGGTTCAGCAGAGTGGACAGGGAGTAGAAGCAACCTGTATTCAGACCTGAGGGGGGATAAAAACGCAGCACGTTCAGTTGGCTACTCTCCTGCTGGGTTGTGAAAGGGCAGCGAGACCTTTGGGACAGTGTCCTCTAACAAGGCAGCAGAGTATCAGGAGAGCCAGCTGGACTGGCTGGACAGAGGTTACTGGCAGCAACGCAGACCAAGGACAACTAGATCTCAGCATGCAGGAGGAAGCACCCTACAGTTTCAGGATGGCTCTTACCTGAAGAAGTAGAAAGGCTGTGCATGTTTCTAATACTGAAAGGTCATGCAAGTCCTTCACAGGGTCTCAACCCACCCTGCATAGCCAGAGGCAGCTTCAGCAGTGGAGCTTTCTCCTCCCCCCAAAGTAAGACACTGGCAAAGCACCCACCTCAGCATCACACCTCTAAAAAGGGCCTGGGATTCAGGGAACACCAGTGCCATTGACCAGCGGGGTTTCCTTCCCAAAGAATCACCTGACACCATTCTCCCTGCTGACAGGCAGTGAAGAACAGCCTCCCAAAGCCAAGAGATACCCGGAGGCAAGTGGGAGCAGAGCTGATGGCGAAGCACAGACAGCACTTCCCCCAAGCACCTGGCGTTTGTGTCTGCATGGGAACAGGCTTATATTTTTTACAAGATATCACTGAAGCCTGAAAAAAAATAAAAAACAACTGTGAAAGTAATTGTCTTTCTGAAAGGGAAGTTAGATTAACTGTTACAGGCGTCAGCCACCTGGTGAAGGTTTCTCAGTATCACCCAAGGTGAGAATGGAAACCGTTGGGGGAGATACTGGTCAAGCCCCATCCAGACACTCCGTTTCAGCATTCAAGCAACTCTGAGCTCAATGCATTCCTGAAAGTCACAGAAAACAAGAATCCCCTCTTCCTCCCTGTGGAAATATCCACGTGGAATATCCACATGGGCACAGGAGCAGCAGCACTGCAACGGCTCCACTCTCACCTTGGCTGATACTGAGAAACCTTCCCCAGGTGGATGAGGTCTGTAACAGTCGACTCAACTTTCTTCTCAGAAAGTCATTTACATCTGCAGTTAGTTTCTCTTCAAAGCTTCAGTGATCCTGGTAGGGGGAGGGATGGGGACGCATTTCACCACCGCAGCTCACACATCTCTAGGCTCCAGAAGGTGGCATGGGTTTTAAAATTCTGGCTCAGACGTCTGCCATCCTGACAGCCCAGACACACGTCAAGTTCCCACTTCCTGCTTTTCCTCTTTCAGCCTCAGCTAAAAGCAGCAACATGGCACTACACGATACAGAAGTGCAGTCTAGCAGGCAGAGCTCTGACAAAGGGAACAAAATCCTGAGCTGCAGCTCCAGCTCCCCTACCCCTGAAGCCCTGCGCAATCCTGCTGTGCCCAGCCCACTCCTCCCCTGCGAGCCCACTGCCCTCCACAGCTCCTGAAGTGCTCCAAGGAGCCACCACATTGACAGCTGGAGGGGAGACCACGCTTCCTTCACACGCCCTCCTCAACAGCATTCAGCAGAGCTAACTCCACAGCTTCACGGGACAGAAGAGATAAAGAATCTTACGCAAGTAATCCCATAAGCCAATTGCCTGTAACAGGGGTCCCTGCTCCAAAAGCACCTCTCAGCACAGACCAGCACAGTTCCTCTGCCCGCTACTGCTTCACCTCAAAGCTGGGCATAAACATAGACCAGTCATGTGTGTGCTCCTGCTTCCCACCCAGCCAAGAGGACAGCAAGCTTGTGGGGACAGCCAGGGACAGCCAGACCCCGACAGCTGATGCTGTCAGGACGCCAGCTCTGCAGAGGCTGGATGATGTATGCGGCTTCCCAAAGAAGGGCCCCTTCGCCCAAGCTGGGTAGAAAGAGCTGCGGGGTTGGCAGCAACGCTTGGCACCAGAGTCAGACAAAATATTCTAAGAATCGAGACAATGTGCCCGATTTGCATTTGTGAAGGCTGGCAAATGAAGTGCGCCTTTCACATGTCACAGTTGCTCGGTGAAGTTTCTCTGTGAGTTGCAGCCAGCTGTTTGAATGCCTGTAAAACAGGCGAGGGATGTTTCCAGTGGCAGTGCCCAATTGCCCATGCAGACAAGGAAACCAGGTCTAGAAGCTAAGAAAAAGACATCTGAAGATCCAATCCCACCTGATTCATTGGTTAGTTACCATGGTTGCTTGTAATGTGCTGCGTAACAGCATTTGAGACCTCAGTGTCTCCTCTATTTTACAGAGGCCAAAAAGGGGAAGCTTATTGCCCAAGGCTCCAAAAGGAGCCCTTATTAAGCCCTGGACTAGAACTCAATTCTCCTGTAGGCGCTACGCTGCTTAGTTACATGCCAGACTACTGCTCTTCCTCCTCTTCACCTTCATCTTCCAGGACAATGGTTCCTTGTGCAGATCTCCTCAGCTGCCCTGCCTTCTCCTCACTGCCCCATCACCTTTCCAAAGTCTGATTCTTTGGAGCTGTCTCATCATTCCCACTTCACAAGCCTTCCCCAGGCTTTCCCACCCTTTTCCTGCTGTCTCTGTAGCTACACACAGCTTCAGTGCAAAGCCCAACCCAGTGAACTCAGAGTCCCTTAATGCCCACCCCACGTTATGCCTCAGCTTTACTGAAGCAATGCCAACAGTCTTTGGGAAAAGGCAGGCTGAGGGTTCCCTGAGAAACAGTTCACCCACACTACACAGATGCAGCGCCACCGATGTTTCCAGCACTGCAAATCTTCCCACAGGAAAGGAGTCGGCAGGTGCTGGTCATATCACTTTACCTCAGAGATCTGCAGCCCTGCTCTGACCTGGCATCGTGTGAGGGCCCCCGATCTTTCTACAGCCATGGGAGATGAACCAGCAGGCGATATCCCACTCTCACCCCTAACTCACACTATGTTAATATAAAAGCTACAAGAGGCTGCAGGTATCTGTGTTAAACAGTGAAGATGATTCAGTTGCACTCACTTGGCTGCAGCTGTCTTAAATCCTGTCCAACATAACTTTTGACTTGAGTAGGAAAAACCGTCCCCGTTTTAAAGCCAGACTAGTAAAGAAAAAAGGTTTCACTGCTTAGTTCCCTCTCTGAGTAGCAGTCACCTTATCTTCACTGCCAGCAGCCTGAAAGTCAAGTTGGAGACTGACAGGAGGCTGACATAGGGAGGAGCAGAATAAATGCACAGATGACTGGAAGGCAGACAGGATTATGACCCACTGAACGCTTTCCACATCATTTGTGACTGCCAGGAGGGAATTATCCCACGGAGATCAGATTCTAAACATGTTCTTCGTACTGAGAATCTGCCTCTCTCCTCCAGGGCCTGATTATCCCTATTAGAATTAATGCTTTCCCCTTTCTTTTCCCTGAAGCATGTGAATGAGCAGATGCCACAATCCAGCTTTTATAGCCAGTCTGCCAATGACAGTTTTTCGTATCTCCACTTTTCTACTTTCTCAGAGGTCATCAGGCACTAGGGAGGGAGAGTGGGGAGCAGCTGCAACGCAAACCAGCGGAGCCCAAGGGTGGTCTGAGGGGCAATTCTAGAAGCCTACTGCTAGGGAGGAGAAGAGAGAAGGGAGAAGAGATTTCAGCAGGTCCAAAGCCCATCAGTACTCCCAGAAGGTACAAAGCCACCATGCTCTCTCCAACCTGACTTATCACTCAAAGTCCTTTAGGCACAGCTGCTAGGGGAACCACAGAAGTTCAACAACTATTTATCTTTCCTCCTGAGGAGCTTCCGCAGCAAGCAGGTGGGAAATGGGGACAGACCTCTCCTCAGAACAGCTGCCTAAAGTATATCCTATCCTATCATACAGGTGTAGGCTTGCAGTGGCCTCCTCTGTCTCTGCTAAAGACAAGAATGCTTCTCCATGTGACAATTCAGCATCAGGAACAGATTCAACACACCAAACTCCCCTCAGAGAAATAGGGCAACACCACTGAAGGGAAGAAGCAAACCCAATGTGGAAGAACAGATAGCAGAAGTACGTGGTCTCCAATCCCCCTTTCATTTGCTTTGTAGGGATTGCCAAAGGGGCTGGTGCAGCCTGCACACCTACATGCTCCACATCACCTCTGCTGGGAGGCCTGCCAGCACACACTTTTCTTCGGAAGTAACTTGCTATCAGTGCGGCAAATCGCACTCAGACACAGCTCCATATCTTTCTTAGGTGAGCATTTAGATTAGTCAAGTTATTAACCAACTAGGGGAAAAAAAAAAAGGATTATGGAAATCCCCTGAACAGGAAGTGGTCAGAGGCTGGGAAAAAAATATATATATCTAGTGGAACACATTGACCTCTGCCCTCTAGGTATTTCCTTGGAACCACTGCTGGAGGGAGCTAGAAGGACCCCAGTCTGTGGCAGCACAGCTATCCTTACATTCCCATACCACAGCTCAGGCCAGTTACTGCCCTGGCACAGCACAGAGAAGGAGGGGGAAGCTAAGCACGTCCAGCAGTGATGGCTGCCCAGAACAGCCAGACCTTACCGTACGTGACCATAAGCAGCACAAAGCTGGTGTTGCGGAGCAGACGAAGGATTGATTGCACGTAGGAATATTCCACTGTCGGTCGCGACTGGATCAAGGCCTGAGCTTGGCTCGGAGGGTATGGGGGCTTCTCCTTGAAGACTGAAACCAGACACAAGGCAGACCTGTTTGTAACAGTGTAACTGGGGAGCCCGGGCACACGCTGAGGTTTGAGCTGTTCATGGGACAGCACAGGGGCTAGTAAAAGTGTATAAAATACATCAGCATCCTGAAGCTTTGATCTCTGTGCACGAAGTTAACCAGGAACAGGAGAAGACAGTCTCCCCAGTAACAGCTCCTGCCAGGGGGGAAACCTTCAGGCCTGACCCTTCTCAGTCTGGGCGTGCTGTCTGCTGTCTCTAACTCGCACTAAAGCGGCACCCAGGAATCCCAGTTGCAGGGGATCCACTGCTGTATTAGGGGCAGCACAGTCACTGTTGTACTTTGTCTATTCCCCACCTGTGAATCATTAAAGTCTACATCTGACTCAATGATCAGGCAACATAAACAAGCTGGCAAGAGGAGTCCACAAAGTCTACTGCCTGTAATGCTTTCTTCACCATGCTCGTAGCTGGTTACCTTTTTTCCCCCTCCTGGGAACAGCATGTTCTTGTGAGGCAAGATAATCTACCTCCTCCTCCATACCCTTAAGATGTAATCAGCCCCAAGAACCCTGTCTGCAGGCAAGAAGGATGAGGACCTTGCAGTATTTCTAAGACTGGTTTTTAAAGAACTTATACAGAGAGTTTTATTGTGAGCAATCAAAGGCTGAAATGAACAGTTTGGCAGGCTCACTCACAACCTCACGGGGCCCCTCACACTCAGGCTGATCTCAGTTCCACTTGGTTTCACACACACGCTTCCCACCTCCTTACCTATGACGACCAGGATGAAGAGGGCTGTTGCCACGCCTGCTGTCATGAAGAACATGATGCTTATGTGGTAGGCCAGCTTCTCCACATTTTCCACATTAGGAACCAGCACAGGAGGGACCAGAAAGCCCAGAGCAATGCCAAGCTGAGCAGGACAGAGAGAGAGGGGACACAGGTGTGACTTGGAACCGCAACATCGCCACGAGCTCAGAGCTCACCCCTTTGACGCAATCCTCCCGCACACAGTAAGACCTCAACTTGGCCTCCTCCAGCTTCACCTACGAGGAGAAAATCCCCTTCACCACCTAATAATTGAAAGATAAAAGCCAGCTACCCACAGGAACTAGGCCACAAGAGGTCCCCCCCCACTGAACTTAGTACTATAAGGATATTCAAGGCACGGTTTTAGAGCAGAACTGAGTAGGATTAATACCTGCCTCCACCAAAGTGGAGTTCTTGCTTCCCCTGTCCTCCCACACCCACACTTTGCCCTGCACACACACATCCCGCTCCTTATCTTGTGCCTATGCTGGTGCTGACCTGATCACCTGCTCAGCTGACTTGGCGCATGAAAAACAGCAGAAAACAACACCATCAAAAAACACCACAGTTCCCTACTGGGTTAATGAATTGAACCTATTTGCCTTCAGGCCAGACAAGCACAAGGGGTGACGAAAGGCAGAACCCTGCCCACTCGTGATGAGTAAGGTATCAATCTGCCTCGGCCATTTTATGACGCTGATTCTGATGGAGCTCCCTCCCGAGACAAGGCTCACCCTGCTACCACTCACGCCTTTCCCACTGCACCAGGAGAACCTAGACAAAGACAAAAATTGAGAGCGAAGGAAGTGCTGACAGCACGTATCATAAATGTCGAGGTTGCGTGATGGGGCTTGGCAACTGCCCAGCTGAAACGCTTGGCTCTGAAGGGCTGCAAGAAGACACCCTGCAGCTGTGGCCTCTGCTGTGCTAAAAGCCCCACACGTCCAGCTGAGGAGCTCCTGCCACGACAGCACACGCTTCGGTGAGGACACTGGGGGTCTTCACTCAACAGCTGTTTCCTCCAGGAGAGCAGCAAGGAGCTGTGGCAGCGCAGATTTTGCCACGACGACAAGCAGCACTAAATGGCACACACCTTCAGTGCCAGCCCTCAAAAGAGGAGAAATAGCTGCTTTGATGCCTGGGAGCACTCTCTTCATAAAGTTGAAGCCAAAGAGCAACATTTGGAGTACTCTAAAGACAAGAGGAGGCATACAAAAGCTCCCCCTCTGCCTTTTTTCCCCCCCCTCCCCTGTGTTTGTTTCCCTTTAAAGCCATGTTACAATCACCATCTAGTTCCCAAGGAGTGTATTTACCTCCTCCTCTGGCCCTCCTCAGCACTTGCAAGCTCTCAGACATCAGGAAAAGAGCCATACACGAGCTCAGCTCCTGCTTGCTCTCAGAGAGGTTCTGCACACTTAGCCCTGTACAGGGCAAACACATTTTTTTGTTTAGTAACACTTTTTCTCTCACATTTCCTGGTTTCATCCGACATTTGCTGTTGCAGACAGTAACAAGGCACACACAAGAGCCTGTAACAGATGCAAGGACTGAGAAGACGCACACAAAAAGAGACAGCAGGTGGCCATGCAGCCATCCTCATCCCTGCTTGAAACAAAGATTTTCAATCTCCTTTGCAGGCTGTACCATTAGCTGGGAGGTAGAAAAGCACTCGCATTACTGGCACAGTGCTAACTGAGCCAATACAGACCAGCAGTACAAAAAAAAATTACTCATGCTACACCAGTGCAGCCTCTCTACAGCCACTGCCCTCGTCCTCATGCTGACAGGAGGTAATATGCAAAGCATGGAAACCAGGACATATTCAAACTAAGCCCGTTGCATGTACCGTTTCCTCATGGGAAACACCAGATAGGAATCCATTAGCAAAATCAAGACCTGTTGCCCCACAGTAATGCTGCCCAACAGAAGGATCCGGTCAGCAATGTCTTCAGAGTCTCTGGAGAGGGTCAGTTCACGTAACTGGTCTTACTCTACAGGCAAGGAAAGCAAGGATCAAGAAAAGCGAGGACTGTGGTGCCCACGTCACTGCCAAGCATGGCAGAACAGAGCAGAACAACCCTGAGCCCTGTCCCAAACTCAGGACAGGTCTCCTGCCTTGCCCTCTAGCAAAAACTCCCTGCACTTTCTGCATGCTTTTGCCATCACACCTCCATGTTTCGGGGACGATGACAGACTCATTTTGGGAGAGCCACTGTACCAGCCAGGACTCAAGGTCAGAGAACAAACACATCCCAGGTGCCACAACTGCTGGCTGGGACAAAAATGGGCTTGTGCTCTCTAGCAAACTCCCCACAAGCCCTCCTCCTCCTCCATCCAGCTGGTGGATCTTTGAGGTGGGGAGAACGCTTATAGATCAAACAGAGCTGTCTTCTAGACTCAGAGACAGCATTTAGCTTAAAGACATGTAACTTTCAACAGCATCTGACCAAACTTTGTGTCAAACTGTGCCCTCCTCCACTGGGAGGCCTGCAATAGCTGAGGTCAGGATTGCAGCAGACGTCTCTGCTGAGTTCGTTCCCAGCACCGGGGCATCCCAGGACCTGGTGGGAAGAGTCACCAAGAGACTACAAATGTGCCACGCCAGTACAGGACATTTTCAGCAGCGAGAACATTCAGGGGTTCATTAAGCACAGTGAAGCGAAATGTAAACTGGGATGTCCCCAGATAGTAAGCCAAGGACTGGAGGAGTTTGAGACAAGTTCAGATACCACCAGTAGCAAAGGCAAGCCTTCCCAACACCCACGCAGCACAGGCAGCCTCCGACGCAAGGACTGAACCTTGCCAGAGCTCAGCTTTGTCCAGACACAGCCTGTCCCCTGGCCTGTTACAGCTGCTCAGGGCTGCTCTCCCATCCCACGCTGGCTGCTGACTATGGAGACTCGCTGACTACCCATGAGCTTGACCATCAGTTGGCTTAGGGGCTTCAAGCCCCAATCTTTGTTAAATCGCACGCTTCCCTGTTCTCTGTACAAGGCAATCAAGCCTGTAGCTTCACAGAAAAGGCACTTACACTGAAGCCAGAGCACATCCAGAGGGCAGAAGCCTGTTTGTCTCTGCAGCAAGTTTATTTTGGCCAGAGTGCAGTCCTGCTGCTCCACCCTGGGCTTCTCAGCGTTCCCTGAAGTCCAAGCTTCAAGGAAACGACTCTCAACACTGCTCCTTTCCAGAGGAGACTGGAGCCCTCCCAGCCCTCACCTACCGGGTTCCACGTGGGTTTCTCCACCTTTTACCAAGTGAGGTCTATAAATTGCTTCCTGGAAACTGCTGCCTTGCCTTACTGCCCTTTCATTCCTGGAAGAACCAGGCTGGATTCCTGCGCTAGCTGCTGCTGCAACAATCACATGATGCTCACATGAGTTGCTGACCCACGGCAAAACATGCACAGGAAGAAGAGAGGTTTCTCTGGGGCCACAGTCAAGATTCACTCTTTTCAGGTCTCCCTCTATCCTCTTCTACCTGAAAAAGGATATTGAGAATCTGTTCTGCACAGCACTTGTAAATCCATTTCTGAGAAGTCCTATAGCCACCACCTATCAAAAAGGGCTTACTCAGCTCTCCTGGATACTTCTGTTGGCTTTTCAGAAGACCTGAACAATTTTTCCTAACCACGAAAGGATGCTTGTCCTCACTGTTCCCCTTCCAGATAAGGTAACGCTTGTCCACTTGGTGTTTCTTAAACCTGTGAAAAAATAGAAGGTAGAGGGGACAAAAAATGCCAGCATAGCACTAGGAAACATTTTATATTTCAGGGTCACTGACATTATTAATCCTATGAAGAGGAGATCCCATGACTTGGCTAAAACTGAAGATTTCCCAGGGGATACCCTGGATTATTCATTGCACTTTTAGCAACAAAGACAAGTTCTCAACATCATGATGAGTATTACACCACACCTACTTCACCTTCCACAGAAATTTTCAGTTTGGTTCTCAGCAGGCCAGTACCCCTGTTACCACCAACCCAACAGGCAACAGCGTAACCCATCAGCAAGAAAATTTAAACATTCCTTCACGGCAGAGAAACAATTTTTCTCCCTTCTCCACAGCTCCCACATCAGGTCTGGGAAACCAAAGCTGGCTCTGTGACGCTCTGTGCTACCCCTCTCAGAGCCATCAGGGCTCATAGTGCAGTCCCTCTGCCCAGGACAAACTAGCATCTCCAACCTTTGTGCAAGGTCTCCAAGACCTATACAAATAGGGTCTCACTCCCAAAATTCAGCATTTCCTTAGTCTTACAACATGAGAGCATCCCCACACCCATAAAATGCGCAGCACTGTCCTGATCCTCATGAATCTCCCTGCAGGAAGCAGCCCGCTGGCACTTCGTTTTATGGCTTTGGGGTGATTTAAACAGAATAACAGGGAAGTCTACAACCACAGCAGAGTCCAAAGGCTGAGAAACAAACAGTGGAAAGAATCTATTTCCTACCTGAATTTTATCAAGCTGCAGTCCTAACACTGACTTCATATTCAACCATCCACCAAAACAGTTGATAAAATTGAGAGCAAGTGGCAAGTACGATGGTATATATGTACCCAAGGTCTTGAAACGGACAATGGGATGTCTGATTTATCTGATTGTATACAAAGAGTCTGCCAAAGAATGATAATCAGTGCAGATTCAGCATAGAAACTGTAAATGAACGATCGATGCAGGAGCGGGTCTCCACCTTAAAGAAAACTAAGAGTCAGCAACAGGAATACAGAAGCCCAATAAAATCCCCAAGCAAGCAGGAACATTGACAGAAGAGACCACCACACCAGGAAGGTCAATTAAAGTGTTAAAAGGCAGAAAGAGACATGCTGCAAAGGCAAAAAAAAAAATACAACACAGAGAAATTGTGACAATGCCCTTGCAGGCTATGTAAGCGTCATGAGAGGGATGATGCAGAGGCTGCGTTTTTAGGTTCCATGAAAACCCTCTTGTGAAGACAGCCTCTAAGAGGCACAATTCATGATTCAGGCCTAGGGCAGCACAGCGTGCCCACAACCAATATTAGCAGACGGTTCTGCACTGCACTCACATTCAGCTTCCTTGCAGCCACGAGCTGGGGGGTGGAAACAGCTCCAAACCACCACGGCAATTTTAACTTGCAAGAGGGAACTGTCTAGAAGGAAAGCTTCTTGAAAGGCAATTCTAAAGACAAAGGAACTAACCGCTTGCAGGTGGCATTGAGACTGCACAGAGACACTGAGACACCACATCAGGGGCTCAGAGTAAGCGTACAGAACGTTATCAACACTTCTAGAACAGAAGAAATAAAAGCAATCACGGTTAAAGAGCAAAGAAGGAAAAAAAAAACAAAACACCACACACCTCAAAAGCTGTGCTTCATTTCTTCAAGCAAGAAAAAGAGGAGACAGCAAGCTGGACCAAACTAAAGTCAAACCATAATTAGGCCAAAAAAGACTGAGGAACAGCTTGACAAACTAATTAAAAACTTCATACGCTGCACAATCAGGAAGCCTGCCAGGAAGTCTGGACAGCCAAAAGATGATCACCATGGAAGGAAAACATCTGAGACAGGGAGAACTAGATGAACTCTTGCATCAGCACTCACTACGTGATTTTTTGGGGAAGCTTCCACCTCGATAGAACCTCTTAATATGGCAAAAAGTCTGAAGTGCTATCAGTGGTAGGCTTTATTCAGTTTATTGCAGTTTGTTCTATGAGGTGTCAGGACCAGATGGGATTCATCCAAACATTGAGAAGAACGAGACAACAGAAAACCCACGCTACTCACACACAAACACACCAAACCGTTAGCTCTGGTCCCTTACCAAAACACCCAAATCAGGAATGCGGGAAGGCACTTTCCCAAACTGAGACTTTTTTTGGGTTAGTGAAAACAGAGCGGATCCTCCTCTCTCTTTTCCATAGCACTTACCAGGGACCACTGACTGCCCCAGAGCTGCCTGACCTAGGCCAGATGCTCCCATGTCCTCATGTACTGCACCTTTCCAAAGAATTGCTTCATGGTGAAGAAAATAACCAAGGGCTTCACCTGCTTTCAGCAAAGAGAGCTTGTTGCCTTTGTCAACACACCACTGGAGCTGTTCTACCCTTCTAATCCTCGACATCCACAGCGACCAAGGAGATGAGGAATCCTCTACAAAGCCAAGAGCAGTACCATGCTTGGAAGAAAACAAGTGACACTTGAATCATTTTAAGGAGTCCAGCAAGAGATGAGACCAGGTCAGGATGCTGCAAAACCCACATTAGTGATCTTCTGGTACCAACCAGTGCAGAGGTGCAGAATGTAACTGGTAGTGGCAAAGGGACACGTGTTTAACTGGCAAGAGGAGGAAGAAGCAGCACAGTCTGTTGGATCTGGACACCACATCTCGTTATGGCAGGAGAACCCTTAGGAAAGTGAACAGAAGGGCTCCCCTTCCTGTACATTGCTCTCACACATCTGGGAGGGGGACTTTGACCCCCGCTCGGTACAGACACCGGACAGTTCTGCCAAGGCAATAAAATACATGGGACCAGGATCTTCACTACATTCACTCACCCTGGGAACCCCTCAGAAGAGGCACGTGTTCCAAAGTCCTGGGCACCACAGCTTCTCCTGTTACTCACGTCCATGTGTCACAGCTCTGCCCTGTAGCATTTCCTCCTTTCTTAACTGCAGGTGTCTCCCATGCTGTAACCACGATATTTCTCCTTTGCGATAAGGGAATTACAGGGTCATAACCTGCAGAGAGCAGACAGCCACCCCCTTCCACACCCTGTGACTCCTACTGCACACCAGCTTCCCAGCCCCTTGCTAATAGCACAGGTCCCAGCTGCCTTTGTGCAAAAGGGCTACAGTAGAACCAAACATACATGGCAAAAGATCTGTGCAAAGCAGCAGCTGCCACTTCCTACCCAGTATATTTTTATTTGCATTGCTGCCCAGAATATGCTTCTTCCATGGATTTCAGTATTTCTGTCAGTGGCATAAGGGCCCACTGAAATCAATGTACTTAAATGTTTGCATACCACCGTTTAGTCACCTTTTCTGCAGTGTTTTAAGAAGCAGAAAGGACCCAAGTGGCGAGAGGAAAAAATGTAATCCAGCCCTCACGAAGAGATAAGATAGAGCTTAGGCTTTTTTTTAAATCCATTCACACTGATATGAGAGAGAAGTTATTTCTTCAAACTGCACTTGCACAACCAAAGCTCTTCCGGAAGCAAAGTAAACTCCTTCCTCATTGTACTTCTTCTGTGGCATCATCTCCTCATACCGTTTAACGCGATACAATGCCAGATAACGAAGACCACTTCTCCAGGCAAATCATTTGGGGCCTCTCAGCACTGAACACACCTTCGCCCGGTTTACTGGGGAAGAAATGCAACGCAGCAAAACAGCAGCAGCAGATAAGAGACAGTAAAGCAGAAGAGGGGTTTGGGCTCCAACAGCAACCTCAGCAGCTGCTGAAGTACTCAGCCGGGATGACACTTGGGTCAAGGACCTATTACAGTCACATAACAGAGCCAGCCTCCAGGGATCCTGCAGGGCAAGTACTTAGGGTGCCATAGGGCAGCCCCTCCCAGCAAAAACACTGCTGTCATTCATTTAACTCCCATGCTAGTTCAACTCAGCAAAACCCAAAAGTTGTCCCCTTCTGTGAGGGAAAAGGGTGTGCTGCTTTTGGCGTGTGGCTGGGGAGGGAGCACCAGATGAAATGAGCAGAAAGATAATTTCAGGTTCCTGTGCCCTTTATAGAAGCTCAGGCATTCCTGGGATAGCCACGTCGCTGTTTGGTCAGCACATTGAGCCACATCCAGGATCTCAGGGAGCTGCCCACATAGTGCTCCTTGTGATCCCCATGGCCAAATCCACCCTGCCCTTCTTTGCAGGAAGGGAAAGGAGCCAGGGCGGGAAAATATCACCTCTAACTATTGCCACTACTGACTCCTCAGTAAAATCTTCTCTGTCCTAAGAGCTAAAACCCCAGGAGACGTAGGGCCAGACTACGGAGGCATGTGAGGCTGACTACCCCCATCCCTATTTCTAATGGGGATCAGATCTCATCAGAAGATATGCTCAGAGGAGGGAAGAGCAAATGAGCTCTAGAAAGAAGTCTGCTTGAAGAGATGAATCCCACTGGACATGCTCCATTTCCACAACGCTTCTTGGACTTTCAGAGGCTGCCTTACCTGAAGGGCAAACAGCACAGAAGAGGGTTAGCGAGGAGACAAACAGCACAAAAGCAATGGCCACTCAGATGTCGCAGACCTGATTGCTCCCAGACACTCACCCCACACCACCTCCTGCAGATTCTTTCCCTCATTTCAAAACACAAGAAAAGAACCTACCAGAAGAGAGAGAACATTTCATTCATGCTTTATCATCCGCTTTACCTACTTCAAAAGCCATCACCTCATTACTGCTACACTAACGCTCCCAGCACTATGCAGATAGCACCTCAAATCTCCGCCTCAGGCTGTTTCTTTAACAGAAGTCCTAAATCACCTAAGTCACAGAGGCATCCCAGCTCCATCTGAACAAGGACAGACCCCACCCGGAGATTAGTAAGCTGTTGCATCATTTTTCCCCCCCCACAGGCAGAGACAAGCATAAAATTGAAGTTTCCTTTCCTCCTAGTCTATCAACAACTTCTATCAACTCCTGCTAAAACATGAAGCATCAAAATTACAGCAGAAAAATCATCCAACAGCCTGAATCCTTACCCCAAGTCCCTCAGAATGGAGAGAACCAGGGAGAAGTTTGTTTTAATCAAAATCAACACAAACAAAAAAAAAAAAAGTGCTGGTGGCAGAGCAATACAAAGTCACAAACACAAATGTCTTTCATTGCTCTAGCAGAACACAGTTAACACAGTGCTCTTAACACCAAGAAACCTGAACAAGCATTGCCCAAGCATGGCAGTCCAGTACATGCCACAGGAACTGATGCAGAGAGCTGAAGAATTCCAGGACCTGTCCAGCTGGCTCCAGCTCATATATCTCAAATAGTCACAAGAATTCACCTCATTACTTAAACATCCCCACCACAGCAGAGATTAGTGCCATCAGGCCACAGCACCATGCTTCCTCACCCCCAAAAGGCAGCAAAGCAATTATTTTAAAGAAAGGGACAAGGCCAGCTGCTCCAGCTAACCCACGCTCCTGCAAATGCTAGCATCTCAGAAGAGTATTTTTCACCTGCAGTCTTACTACCAGACAAAAATGACGGGACAATCTCCCTCTGAGGTGGAACTCAGAAGCCCATCTGCTGGAAACAGCACAGCCCTGATGCATACCACTCCCTCCCACCCAACCTTTGTGCACAGGACTAATGCAGATGTCCAGCACCACATTCCTCCACAGGTGACACTGATGATGATGTAGAAGACCCACCACCACTCACAGCTGCATTTCTGATGCTTATCAGTCAAATTCCTCACAAATTAAAACACAGCTGAAAGGCATCACTTCTATTTCCTTATCCTAGAACTTCGGCCTGAAGAAAGATGCCAATGTAGATTTTCTTGGTCTTTTAAATCAATAAGCTGATAGTAATATTTTAATGACATTAACGATCTCGTGTCAAAGTATCCAATTTACAAGTAAATCCCATTCTATACCAACCCATATACGAACTTGCAGGGACAAGGAAAAAGAATACAACAACTCGTGCATTTCTCTGTTAAAATAGGAAGAAGTACAATGTAATGTATACGAGAAATGGGTAAATAAAGAGACTGTGAGAGTGCTCTGTCTAATTCTTCTTTGCACTGTGATACCACAGCCAACGCACCATGACCAGAAAAGCGTGAGGAGAATCTGATATTATCTAAGAGGATTTTTATTTATTTTTTTTAAAGATATTTAACACACCACCTGGCATTTCAATAATTTACTATTGAGAGCTGAGCTTGAACCTGAAGGTTACTGTCACACAGCAAGCAGTCTCTGTGTCCTGAGCAGACATCAGCCCAGCAGTCACGGATGAGCAGAGCAGCAGAGCTCCCCTCAGGACAGCACTGCTGAGTGCAGTTTAAGGTGGACAGGACCATAAAGATGCAGGTGTATCAAACAAAGAGGCAGTCAAACTGCTCTGCTCACCCATGTAGCTGCTGGTACTTCTGCCAGATAGGGATCTTAGTGCTTGGCACTTGATAAATAACCATGTCAGAGATGTCTACCTTGAGGATCTTTAACTTGGACTGTAATGAAGTAACACGGCTCTGAAAAGAAAACCACACAGTTGTAAGTGAATGACCAGAGGGAATAATTTGCCATACTGAAATTACAAACCCACCATATTGTGCCCTTCACTGTCACTCCCTAAAACATACTCTTTAACTACAGACTCAGAAAAAAAAAGGAAGCTTCTATTTCTTCCCCCTGGTCAACCTCAGCAAAATAGCTACTTTTAACTCACCGTAATTATGCACATCAGGACCCTTGATTAAGGGAATGAAATGAATAGGTCTTTGCTATGGAGTACACGCTGCCTTTAGTCATTGCCATTTCTTGTCTCCCTGATTCTCTAAAACGAAAGTCTGGGCTTACAAAGCAAGGGTTATGTACTGACCCGTGGCCTAACTGCAATGTCAGTTCAACCCCCAGAGCAGTGTGGAGAACCAAACGTCTAACCAAAGTTTGCCTTTCACAATTGTTAGACTAACCCACCCCTTTCAGGGAGATGAAGATACTACCTACGCACATAGCACGGGCTGAACACCTCATTGTTTGGATTTCTTATGCACACTATTGAGTAATTCCACCTGAATAAAAAAAAGGAAAAGTCTGACAGTGAAATGCTCAGTTACTTATTTACTCCTAAATCAGCAGTGTTCATGCCAAGTTAAATGCCTTCCACTCTAAAGATTCATTTAAAACACATAAAAAACAGCCCACTAGCTTGGGTGGTAAGAGGAAAGTGAAAGAGGAAAGTTTAGATTCACTCAGAGAAAGGTGAGCATGATTTCTCTTTCCAAAAGCTGTAAGCCAGAGTCTGCCTAACACAGTTCCACAAATGTCAGTTCCTCAAATGTTATCTCTGAGCATTCACCTCTTTTTGCTACAGCAGTATTTCTAATCAGTACAGAAAGGCAGGATCTTGGGGAAAGGAGACCTTGAATCTTGCTGATAATTTTGTGTGCTGTAGGAAGAATCATGCTTTACAAACTACCCAAATGGCAAAAAAAACACCAAAATCTGAATGGTGTCCACCCACAGCCCAAACCAGAGTCAGCTGAGGGAAGTGTGCAGTCACATGGAAGGGATTACATCAAGTGTTGGAAGTTGGAGGCACGGGTCTAGCTAAGCTGCTAATGCCAAAATACTTCCCTCTTCCTCATGTCAATGTCACAGAGCTGGCCTCACTTCTCTTACTCTGTGCTGCATCAGCGTTAGTCTATCTGCTTCACGCAGCAGGGATCAGTGGGTGTTCCAATGCAAGGGTCAGCAGGTTATTTCCCTGATCCTTTCAAAACTGTGAAAAAATTATCTCCTCCAAGCACCAGCTAGCTACCAGAAAAGCATGTTACAGCTTGAGCAAGCGTGAGCCACTGGCCTCCCTGACCTGCCTTTATACAAGTGTGCTCAGAGGCCTTACCTCCTCCTAGCCTGGTGGAAGATTCGCTTCATTTCACAACAACTGTGGAGACTCCGTTCCTTTTTTTTTTTTAAGGGAGAAAAGTTGGTTAAAGGCCTTTTCCCCTGGGCCCAGACACAAGGAGGCAGCAGCTATTCTCCTTCACCCCAACTAGTAGCCAGCAGGAATAGGATATTGCCCTGTCAAATCCCAATCCCAATGCAACCGCAGCCCTGAGATTTGCTGGACACTCGGCTGACAGCATGTTTCTCAGCACCACGCTTCCCTCTCCACTCCATCCCTCTGCTACCCCACCACACCGCTGGAGCAGAGACTCACAGACAGGGGAGCAGGAGGGAAACGGGGAAGACTTCAAGGCCCAGCACTGCTTGATGCCAGACCTTGTACCGCCTCCAACTTCGTAGACCCAGATCCCACTCACCTTGGCCACTGCATCCACCCCACAGCCAAATTCAAGCTGTGTCCCTCCCCATACAGGCTCTGAGGGAAGCTTTGTCCAGTTGCCTCTTCCCCTGGCTCCATCCCTCCAGGAGGGAGCACACCGAGGCCCTGTGTATCTCCTCCTCAGCTTGTCGCTTGGCCCCTTGGCACTCCCTGGTCCCTCCAGGTGTCACCCAGCCCCACCTGGGCAGCACCCACCCCGTACCTGGTTCCCAAAGACAGCGATGGAGCAGGCGGTGGAGACCTCGCGCGAGCCGAACCAGACGGAGGCGATGCACGAGGGCATGCCCAGGATGAAGACCTGCGCCAGGGAGCAGATGACCTGCCCCAGCACCGTGACAGGGAAGAGGGGCGGCCGCAGGCTGCCCAGCTTCACCCAGGCACCCAGGGCGTTGAGGGCCGAGCCGGTGAGGGCGATGAGGCGCAGACCCCTCCTGTCCAGCAGCCAGGCGACGGGGAAGAGCAGCGGGATGTAGGTGAGCATGTAGCACATGGACAGCCAGTCGATGGCGAAGGCGCTGACGCCGTAGAAGCGCATGAAGACGTTGCTGATGCTGCCGTACTGGATCCACTGGAAGGCATTGCACAGGGAATAGCTGCTGAAGAGCAGCAGCACAACCCAGCGCCGCCGGGACACCCGCACCTCCCCGGCCACCCCCGGCCCCCGCTCGTCCCCGCCGGGCTCCGCCGGCTCCTGGAGGCTCTCCTGCCGCACCATGCCGGCCCCGCTCGGCTCCCCGCAGCCAGCTCCGGCCGCTGGGCCGAGCACCTGGCCGGGGAACCTCGCCCGGCCGCCCTGCCGCCAAGCCCCGGCCCCTGCCACCGCCCCCGGCCCGGCCCGGCCCTCCCGCCCCGCCCGCCGCAACGCGCCGCCCCTGGGCCGCGGGGAGCGCCGTGTGGAGGGGCGCTGACAGGGCCACGGGGGCTGCCTCTGGCCTCGGGTGGTCCCCAGGGGGTGGCCGCCGTGCTGTGTGCTCCAGCCCCGGGGCCTGCGCCCAGAAATCGTAGCACCTTCCCCGGCGCTGTGGCACGCTGCTGCGGGGGCAGGCTGAGCGATGGGGAAGTGTTCAGCCCTCAGCCGGGGTGTGTTCAGCCCTCAGCTGGGGTGTTCTGCCCTCATCTGTGGTGTTCAACCCCCAGTCCTGTTGTTCAGCCCCCAGTCCTGTTGTTCAGCCCTCAGCCCTGGTGTTCAGCCCTCATCTGTGGTGTTCAGCCCCCAGTCAGGGTGTTCAGCCCCCAGCCCTGGTAATCAGCCCTCAGTCCTGTTGTTCAGCCCTCAGCCCTGGTGTTCAGCCCTCTTCTGTGGTGTTCAGCCCTCAGTTAGAGTGTTCAGCCCTCAGTCCTCTTATTCAGCCCTCATCTGTGCTGTTCAGCCCTCAGTCAGGGTGTTCAGCCCTCAGCACTGCTCACCTCAGAGCAGAAACAAAAGATCCCCCCCCCAAACACCAAGGTGCCCCTCTGCAAATCGAAAGCACCAGGCAGCCCATGCCCTCAATGCAGACCGTGGGGACACATCCCCGCACCAAGCCGGCTGCCCAAGGCCCCCGCCAGAGCCCACAGATAAGCACTGGGCAGGGACACAATGTCCGAGGGCACAAGGGAGGGTATTGGCGTGCTTTCCTAATCCCTGGTGCAAGACAGGCTGTAGCAGACAGATAAACAGGAGTCACAAAAAGGCTGTGGATTGGCCCAGAATTTTGGTCAGGGACAACACTGTGGGGGTGTGTGCAGCCTCTGACCCAGTCTGAAATGCCGCGGTGGGTATCTGGAGAATATCTGGAGAAGGAAGCATTTTTGTTTTTCACTTGAGTTGGCTTTCAGTGAGTTTTTATGCTGGGGCACACTATGAAACGAAACACGCAGTGAAGTCAGAATTAAAGCATTTCAGTTCGACTGAAGCAAAGCAGACAGAAGTGATGTTTGTTTTCATCCTCACAGGGAACTCTCAGTCAGTGAGTCAGCTTGTGTTTTCCAATTGCTTTAGGAACATGTCACCATGGCAGATTACTGCCTAGAGATCACTTACAATCTGTAATTCTTTCAATTAACATTGTTATCTGAATTGTATAAAGATTGCTCAGCATAAGCGTTAAA